AACATTTAAGCAGTTGGACAGAAACACAAAACTGCTTTGTTTGAGAGACCAAAATATGCCATTAAAATGTTTTCTTAATTGCCATGTTAAAAAAATGTAAGACGTGTTAAAGAGCTGAAAACCAAAATGTGGGCCCGCAGTGTAAAAACACATTTAGGACAATGGCAAAATTTTCAGCTGTGGTTTTCACATACATTTTTGTCCTGCGCCACAACGTGCCATCCCTCGTTTTAATGGAAAAATGGAAAAGCGAGCAGTGACACGGATTAGTCAACAACCAGAGCAGGAAGAGGACACAAGAAGACTACTTGTTCTCAAACACCATTGATGCGTGTGGATTTGGGAATTGAGCTGGAAGGTTTGAAATCTTGCCATCCCATTGCTCTACCAGAAAAGAAAAAGAGATGTAATCTGCATTCCAGGCTATCTATCGGACAACATGTTTGTCAGTGCACCAAACACAGAGGCTCATCTGTGTGTATACCAGTTTCATGACCACAAATATCCTGTATACACTGCAATAATTTCACCATGTGCAAAGTTTACCTTCACTGGATCTTAATTTAGATTTTGGAATAAAACTATTAATTCAACCCTGATGTATAACATGGGTCTAAAGTTAATCACATCTTACTTTCTTATTTTTATCATCCATTCAGTCATCATTGATCTTCACAAATCCATGTTTTACTTTTTCCTGTTTGAATAAAAAAATATTTGTGTGTATATTGTAATTTTTGAGCAAAATTGAAAAAAAAAATCAAAGACATTTTTTAAGTACTACATTGAATAATAAGTGATAAAGGTTACCACTGAATCTGAAAATTTTCTTCCATAATTTTTGCACGTAAATAAAAAAAATTAATTCAATCTCACAGTATGCCACATCCTTAAATTATTCTCTTAAATAATGAAAAATAACAGTGTCATACACTGTAGCCTGGGGAAAAATTTAAATGTTTTAGGTCTCTCCAGAGTATTTGGGCTGAATGTTTAATGGCATCTATGAAAACAAGGATACAGAGTTATCGGAAAATTTCTGTGGTTTTATATTATTGATGTGTGCTGGGTCATCCCTCCGTTAGTGGTGAGACCACTCAACTACGATGCCAACAGTCGGTCGGCGAGATAATAAATATAATGAACGAAAATACATAGGCCTATGCGTATAGACATACAATGTAATGCTAAGTTATATTGATAAGTTATATTGATAACATATTATATATATTATTTTTTAATATTTATTTTTTTATATATTCATTCATTTTCTTTACAGCTAAGTCCCTTTATTAATCCGGGGTCGCCACAGCAGAATAAACCGCCAACTTATACAGCACATGTTTAACACAGCGGATGCCCTTCCAGCTGCAACCAATCTCTGGGAAACATCCTTAATATATATATATATATATATATATATATATATATATATATATATATATATATATATATATATGCTTTCAGCAAATTATAACAGCTTGTCATCCAGTGTTAAGCCCAGTTATTTGTCAAATTTAACCTTAAAGCTAGCGCCGTTTGTCTGACAGGTCCATTTGCGATGCTCCCAATGGATATTGATAAGACAAAATAGCCAAGCATCCAGCCCTAAATATACAAATCACTCATTGAAACTCCAAGTGATTTTACAAGAGAGAAGTTCAAGGCCTACAAGTCTTTGGATGCCTACAATTTTGTTCTGTGTGGTCATATGCAAGAAATTATGTTCCACGATTACCAGATTCAAACTTATGTAGTGCTATAAACCAAGGTTCTGCCTAGCCAAAGACAAGAAAAGAAGATGGAACAGTACAAGGCCTGGATAATCATCAACAAGCAAAAAAAATGCATTCTGACAGCAAACTGCAACTATACGGCAGGGTATGTGAACTTACATTTTTACATTTTAAGCATCCAGTGTCCTCAGTTTAATTTACCGTATTTAACAGTTTTTGCTGAAATCATTGCTGCGATCAAAAACGAGTAATGTATATGATTCAGCATAGCGTGAACTTACCCGATATGAAATGAGAACTGCAGAGTAGAATATTTTTAAATAGGTTCTCACTACATTCAGCTCTTTTGATGGCTGTTAGCCAAAGACAACTGCGGTTGGTAATAAAAGCAGTGTGATGTACGGTAAAATTTAAGTTGTCTATTTTTAGACCTTCGATTTTGGCATCCTACCGCACAACACTTTGCAACTGGTTTTTTTTTTTGCAACTGGTATGCGTGGTTGAACCCGTGTGATATCATGTGTGACGTAGGTTGGTAATTCCCCTATTGGCCTGACAGTGGAAACGCGAAATGATTTCAACCTCACTGCTCAAGCTATTGGCATGGACCAGCCCGATAAAAGTCCTGGCTTGCATTGGCCCGACAATGGAAATGTGGCTAATGTTTCGAAGGTATTGACACACAGCCTCCGAAACTTTTGTGTGTCATTAAAATAAAATAAACTGGGTTTGATTTTTTTTTTTTTCATTTTTACATTCGAAAAATCGCTTTGAGGGGTGTTTTGACAGTTCAGAGCCACTGTACAAGCATAAGGCAAAATACTTAATTCTGTCATTTATAATAAACTAATAATTTATAATAATAATAGATAATTTATGACAAACAGTACATAAAATGAAGACAGAATGTGGCTCCAGAATCTCCACTGCTGCTGTTTGGTGTGTGTCCAAACCTTTGACATGGCCTACTGCCAGTCTCTGTTCAGGATTTATGTGTGAAGTATCACAAGCAATGTATCAAAATTCCACTGATTTCCTGAAACAAACTTTGCATTTGTGAATAATTCAGGAGGAGAACAAAGTATCACTGCTTGAATTGATTAGAAATGTTCTGCGTTTTTTTCTAGAATGGATTAATTAAGAAACAAATAGTGTGCAAGGTTTGTGTATGGGACAAATTATTCAGCTTTGAATATGAAAAAAAAAACCTTTACACTGATTTAAAAATTTAACAAAGAAACACTGGGTCACTTTTCTTGCATTAGAATAGCTAGTGCATCAAAGGGTTAAATTAAATTAAACAAATTTTTTTTTAAATAAATTTAAATGAATACGAGTACTGTATTAAAAAAAATAAACAAGTGAAAAGACAACATTGTCTAACTGCAAGTGTGTTACATACAAACCGAACAAGAAGTTGTAGCAGTAAAGAGGCTTTTTAGCATAAGAAATTCATCAATGCCAAGCATGAAAGCCAAAGAGCTCGAAGCAACAGAAAGCCTCCGCTTCCAGCCAACCTGCGCTGACAATAGACCGGATAAAGAGTACACTGGCTCCTGCAAGAGCTGACTAGAGCCCCTGTTCACAGCACAAACCCAACAAAGGACTATTCTAAAACGGGTCAATGCACACTTCCAGACGCGCTCTGAGCTACAAGCGTGAAAAGAAACGGTTAAAACGGCACACACTCCGAGAGCTCTGGACTGTGTTCTATCTCACTGAGCTGCCAATCAGCTCTGGGCTTTCATCTCGTCAAACACGCACACACACATGCAGAGCACAATGCATGCAGGAATGGGAGGAATGTTTCTGGAATGGTGCAGGAATGAGATGGTGTCTTTCTGCTAAAAGCTTTCCTAGGAGTCATCGGAGGCGAGAGCAGTCACAATACAGCAGTGATGTTCACTTTCAACAGCTTCATTTTATGAGTATCTGCTGCCAGCTGAAAACGAGAAACTCAAGAGCTGTTTATACTAGTACTACATAAAAGTATTTTGGGGGTGCATTTGGACTTTTTATTTTTATTTTAAAAATATGAACAACATTAGCCTGGATTGCAACTTTAAATGGCAATTTACCTACAGATATTTGATTTTCAAATCTGCACCAAATATAAATAGTAGATTAAGTAATACTATTCACCTTATTCTCCGCCGACGAGCGGGCACTGCCATTTGAATCTTTTTGGCTTGAGACTTCCGGTCTCATTCACTTCTATTCATTTTTTGACGTTAAAAACTGCTCATTACGCTGCTTGATGTTGCAATTTGATATTTTCTTATTATATTCTTCTACTTGGTCTATATAGTCATGCAAACATTTGTTTGTAGAGCAAGTAGTTTGATCGTTTTTTGCTGTTTATTATTCCTAGTCATTTCTACCATAGGCGAATGAATCGGAGGTTCTAAGATAGTCGCGAAAACAGGCGCACTTCCGCATTTTAGAATAAGGTCCATACACCTGTTCATCAACTGATTTAAATAAATATCTAATCATCAGGGCCAGACACAACTAATCTGTGGGAATTTTTTGCTATTTCTGAGCAGACTTTTGTACAAAATCTGTGGATTTATGCAAAATGATTTTAGGTGTTATATTAACTTTAAACTAAAGGGTTTATAAACATTTTTACTACAAAAATTCCATGACTTTTCCAGGACTTTCAAGTCAATTTTCATATCCTAATGTTTCATGTATTGTCTACATATATGTAGTAAATTAAATAGATGATGCTACGCAGCACTAATAATGTGAGAGCATGTTTTGGCCAAGAAAAGAAATGAAGTAAAAACAACTAACCTCCATTCCAATATACAGACATTTGTCAAACTAATTTTAGATCATCTTAATAGTTTGTTAAACTATTAATAGTAGGTAAAGCTACTTCTGTTATAAAGCTGCGATCACATTGCACTTTTTGCTCCATAGACTTCCATTTATAGGCATGTGAGGGGGTGTGATTCACATTATAGGTTTGGAGCAACTGTTTACAATAATTCTATATTATCAATACGGACCAAAATCTCTAGCACTTTGTAAAATTGATGTGACAAAAAATATTCTTAAGATAAAAGCTAGTCTGACAACATACTTGGTAAGCTTTACTTAAAAATGGGGCAGATGAGTATATTTTAACTTGCAATTCATGACGCAGAATGAATGTTAGAGGCATGCATGATGCCTGAAATCACATGGCTTATTTAAGACGATAATATGTTAACTGACCGGATTAATATTGAACGAATAAATGAATTCAATTCTTACCCTGGCTTTACTGTCCTGAGCAGACATGTATCCCACACACATGCTCTCTGTGGTGTGGCTCCATAGAAACTCCACTGTCAATAAGAGAGACACAGAATGATTGTAAGAATGACACCTTCTAAAATAGTTGTTATATATTAATGAAATAAACCATAAAAACATTTTTAGAATGATAAATCTCAAGCAATAATAACCACAATTTTTTATTTTACTCATTAATGAAAACCCACTTTAAAAAAAAGCCTATAAATTAAAGTGTTAAGACATGATTAGCATATCAGAAAAAGGTGATTTATTATTTTTATTTTTTAGATCTTCTTCAATCGAGTGTCAGTTCAAATTATAACAATGCCTCCTTTCTGTGAGAGCAGACCACACTTAGAGACCTGTTTATTGTGCTATTTGTGAATGCAGGGAGCTGCCATGTTTATCCCTGAACGTTTAAACAAAGACGCCTGGAAAAATAGTCAGCATCTTTAGACAAGAATGTGAGGGAGTCATCAGAAAGGAAGAATGGAGGAGAGAGAGAAAGAAAGAAAAAACAAGGTTATGAATAGCTTTCAGAGAATCTTCAGTGACACAGATGTACTTCAAAAGTCCTCCACAAAAACATTCTTGTTTTAATGTGTAAAAAAATTCATATAGCGTTATAATTATTAGGCCTCCTGAGAATTTATTAAACTTTTTCCCAAACGATAGTTAACAGAGACAGGAATTTTTCATCGCATTACCTACACAATTAATTTTTTTCTGGAAAGTTTTATTTGTTTTATATCGAAAACAATAAGACCAGTTTTTTTTTTTTTACATTTAAGGTCAATATTATAAGCCCTCTTAAGCAAATTTTAATCACTTGTCTACAGAACAAACCATCATTATACAATGACTTGGCTAATTACTCTAACTTGCCTAGTTAACCTAAATAACCAATTGCACTTAATTAACTAATTTAACTAATAAAAGGTCACTTTAAGCTGAATACTAGTACCTTAAAAAATATCTAGTAAAATATCATGTACTGTCATCATGGCAATAAAACAAATCAGTTATTAGAAATGAGTTATTAAAACTATTATGTTTAGAAATGTTTTGAGTTCAGAAATTGGGGACAAATATACTGGGGGCTAATAATTCTGACTTCAACTCTACATACAGGTATGTGGCAAAAAATTTGAACATTGAGGGAAGTCCATTTACAGTTGAAGTCAGAATTATTATTCTTTTCTTTTTTTAAACATTTCCCAAATTATGTTTAACAGAGCAAGGAAATTTTCACAGTATGTCTAATAATATTTTTTCTTCCGGAGAAAGTTTTTTATTTCAGCTAGAATAAAAGCAGCTTTTAGTTTTTTAAACACCGTTTTAAGGACAAAATTATAAGCCCCTCTGGGCTATATTTTTTTTCTGATAGTTTACAGAACAAACCATTGATATGCAATAACTTATCTAATTACCCTAACCTGCCTAGGAAACCTAATTAACCTAGTTAAGCCTTTAATGGTCACTTTAAGCTGTATAAAAGTGTCTTGAAAAATATCTAGTCAAATATTATTTACTGTCATCATGGCGAATTTAAAATAAATCAGTTAATATAAATGAGTTATTAAAACTATTATGTTTATAAATGTGTTAAAAAATCTGCTCTCTGTTAAACAGAAATTGGGGGAATAAAATAAACGGAGCCTAATAATTAGGGGGGCTAATAATTTTGACTTCAACTGTATTTCAATATTTTGTTTCAAAAAGGGAAACTTGTGTGCTAAATTAGTTCACCATTCACAAAGTGAAATATTTCAAGCCTTCATTTGATTCAATTTTATTGATTGTGTATTAAAGATGAAAAAACTCAAATATCATGACAAAGTTCAACATTGTAGGCTCCCAGTGTCTCAATCTTGTCCGTTAAATAATGCAAAAAAAATGAATGCCTTAAATTTGTCTCAGTCTGGCCTAGTTGGCTTCAGAATCATGGCATAGCATTCTGACTTGACGGTTTTCAGGCCTTTTATTCTTCTCTTTCTGGTTTATATCCTTACGACTAAAACAAGACACTTCTCATTTTTATTTTACCAGATATGTACTTACATTTGTAAGTCAAGACAAAATATTCAGATACCTAGGTGTGACTGAGAGAAAAGTAATCAAATGGAAAATATAAATACAAAACAATCTGACTTTTATACTCAAAATAAATAATAAAAATACAGCACTGGATCAGATCAATTTTCAAAGACCATGTGACTTTCAAGCTGGAATAACGGCTGAAGTTTTGCCTGATAGGAATAAATTAATTTTTTTTGGAGAGGAGTATCACTGTAACATTATTATATAAAGCACTATTTTTATTCATTTATTCATTTTCCTTTGGCCACAGCTAAATAAACCACTTAAAATCACTTTATAGAACTCAAAATTACATTAAATCATTGATTTTTCCCATTTCTCAGAATTCACTCTATTCTATTTCATTTAATGTTCTTCAACGCACCATCATGCATCATCATAAAACTGAACTCCGTTTAAGAGCATCACATACCCAGCAGAGCCTGGATGTCTTCAGAGCGCTGGGCTTCTCCACATGTGCAGCACCTCAGAACAATCACCCCACCCAGAACACAGTCCTCGCCAGCCAGAAACGGCGAACCTTAAACACAAACAAGCCAACATGATTTCAACCGTGACCCTCCTTCCACTACAATCAGTCTATTTAGACGTGAAGTAGAAATGAAAGCAAGTTGGAGACATCTAAGAAAAATCCAACCATTCTGTCAATGATTTATTGGTTCTGCTCCGTTCTGAGAAGTTAATGAAATGAGCGGAAAAGCCGTACATTTCCGTACTTTCCTCTGCCAACCTAAACGACTGAAAACAATTATTCTTTCCAAAGCTTTTGTTTTATTAACCAAATGAGAAAAATTGGGATCAGAGCCACTTTTCGCTCTTTAATAGGTTAATGATGGAATGAGTTATTTCTGTAACCCCTCACGGAGCTCTGATAAAGGGACTCTGTTAAGAAAGCAAGCAAAATGCTCTTACTTTTCCAAATTAAAGAAAGAAAAGGGTTATTTTTTTGGCTGAAATACAGGCTTCAAGCCCATTCCAATGATTACATCTCTAAAGCAAAAGGAGTGCTGGACGTGGATGAGATTTTCAGCACTCAAGCAAAATACAAAGAGTTTTAAGTTTCACCTCAAATTCTGTAGGTGTTCGCTTTCATTAGAGCCAGATATTGATTTTGCACAGCATGTTGTGTTACGCTTGTTTACGTAAAACAGATTTTTTTTCATAACACCTCTCAATTAAAACCCTTCGATGATAAAATTCTGGATGGCCTTCACAAAGAACACGGACTTAATGCCACTTCAAAAGACATCTTAAAGGAAATCTTTATCCAGTATTGCCTTAAAAGGCCTTTTATTCTTCTCTTTCTGGTTCATTCATTTTCAATGAAAGCCAGCGGCGATAAGCAGCAAGGAGCAGCGCGGTGCGTCTTCGCCGGTGCGTTGAGGAGAGTTAAAATCAAGTCAAATTTATGGTAATGAGCTATGATGCGGTTCGGCGGCAAGCAATCAGAATGAAGAAGTCCACCGCTTGAGAGGAGTTCAGAGAACACAGGCTTAAGAACTTTAGTTCCGACCACAGTTGTTTCCAAGGGTTTGATCATTGCGGTCGCCAGATTTTCAATTATTTACAATGTCTTCTTACAGGAACATGCATTATAAAAGTTACTGGCGAGTTACTGATGTGCATTAATGTTATATATATTTATCTTTAAAAAAGCGGGAATCCCATGCGACAACACAGTATTGCTGCTTCAGAATATTTCAGACATATGGACACATTGGATAATTAAATGGAGCAAAGCCACACCACATGCAACTTAATCTTACATTGTTAAATGGATTTGATAAGAAGTGTGCAACATCCTCACAGCCCCTTTAAATACAAGATCAATGTAGCGAATTTTGACGCTCTCGCCGGTGGAGCTGAAGGCAGACATCGTTGTTGACAGGGCGGCCAGAGCGACCTTGGATGCTCTCACCGCTTTTGGTGTGAACGCACAGTAAGCCTCTACCTAGTTTGATCACATTTATTGGATATACTTTGTTCTGATTGGTCAGACACTGAATCGTTTAATAAAAAACAACATCCTACAGATGAAAAATAAAAGACACATAATAAAATATATACTTGACTGTATTTTTGTGGCGGTCAACTTAATGATCATTTCTGGTATTGTTTTGGTTTCCACAACATTTAAATATATTTTTTAATAAATCAAAGAGCTTTTTTTTCAACAGATATAAACAATGTTTTAAAGTAACATTTTGAAGAATAATTCACTGTTTACGGAGAACATTTTCTAGATTAGCTTTTAAAAATAGAGCTCTTAATTTAGCAGGAAACGTCAGTAAAAAAACTCCTTGTATGATGACAATGGATTTATAAACCATTTTATAAACTTAGTAAGGTGCATGTTGCTATTTAAAATGTAGGTTTTACAATTGTATGAAGTTGCTACACAATATTTCCAATTTAATAATTGTGCTAAAACTATATAAACTATGCAGGTACTGTTTAAATTATTAAAACAAGTTACAGTTCAACTGATGAATTAGTAAGTGTTAAAGGATGTAAGTTTGACTCCCTGTGATTGCACTACTGTAGGTATTGCACTTCTGGATCAAAACACATGCAAGCACAGGTTGCCAGATTGACGCGTGTTCAACTTAAATTGTGTTCTAAATAAAAGCAATGGTACACAATAGAGGAAATATTTTCATATTAAGAGGGGTTTTTGTTCTAGCCAACACCTCGAATTGATATTTTAGAAACGGTCTTTATACTTTGCAGCTGAACAACAGAAAAGTTGATGACATGATCATCTCAGGTACACCTCATGTGCTTTAGTTAGTTTTAAATGCCAATAATGTTAAGTTTGAATGCCATTTTACATGACATTTATTGCCATGCTACTGAAAGCAGCAGTACAGTTCACCTCAGATCTTGAAAATAAAATAAACCTTTTGAAATTGAACTTTACAACTGTGAAATAATGCAAACCTACACATATCAGTGACTCAGCATGTACATTTAATAATGTTAAACAGGTTTAATATGTATTAATATGTATTAATTAGATCATAAACCTTACCATTTCATAGGTAAGTGCACTATCCTGTGCTTCTGAAAGGCTGTATTTAAATTTCTGTCGTGTTTGGTCTGGTGCAAACAGACAAACTGCTTATCACTGCAAATATCATCATGTAGCGTGTTGTTAGGTTACAGGTTTACTATTTAACCAGCTCACCTAATGTTTATGTTTGTAATTTTTATTTCATTTGCTAATTAACAACCCCATGTGGAATCTGCGTCTTGTTTCGGATTCTGCTACTGTCAACTGGAGGTTGCATTTCAGTCGCAGGCACATACTTTAGGAGCCTTCCTGACTAAATGAATGATATCCGCGGTTTTTAAACAAGGCAACCTGGGGTGCTGAAATATTTGGCTAAAGTAGCATTAAAAGAACGGGTTAAAGAAGGGTGGATTAAAAGATCCAAAACAAGACCTTCCAGCCTGACATTTTCAAAGCAGAATAACTGCCTTTAGCATTGCTTTTCAGATAAACAAGAATGTTTACTTGGCATGTTTCTTAAATATCTGTAAACATATTATGGTATTTTTATTTGTTAGAAAACTTACATACAGCACCTTTAAAGGGAAAGTTCACCCAAAAATTAAAAACATGTCAATATTTCCTCACCTTCCAGTGGTTTCAAACATGTTTGAGTTTATTTATTATGTTCAATACAAAAATTATATTTTGAAGGATGTTGAAAGGCAGCATCTATTGACGTACACAGCATTTACTGTTCCTACTATGGATGTCAATGACTTTCCAACATTTATCACAATATATGTTTCCATGTTCAACAGAAGAAAGAAACTCAAACATGTTTGAAACTACTTAAAGGAAAGTAAACGATGGCAGAAATTTTCATTTTTGAGTGAACTATCCCTCAGTTTAGGTCCTGACCATATTGACTATGGATTAATTACCTCAGATCTTGACAAACTCTGATAATTTAAAATTTTCAAACTATGAACTGAACTTTATGTGAACAAACTCTTGATTGTGATATGTTTAAATAGGGAACCTGCGAACACATTCTTCTAATTGGCTGTGATTTGTATTATTATGTTGATGAAATCTTATCACACTGCATTTAGATAGGATACTGCAGAAGGTCCATAGAAAATCCAGTGCAGACTATACATTACCTGGTTTAACTCTAATAAAATAATCCACTTCATTTTTAATTGGCCCTTTATGTTGATTTATGCAGGCCAAACTAATGCTTATTAATTAAGCTTTGCTCCAATGCAAAATGCTCAAAACAAATAAAAAAAATATCCAGTTTTGCATTTCCGTGCAACAAAACTATAAAGGTCACAGGCCAAAACCAGCAAATATTCCCACCACATGTAGTTAGTGTGTTATATTCAATGTGAAATCCAAGCGGTCACCCGATTTCACAAGCCCAGAAAAAGGAACCGAATGAGCAAAGCTTCTGAACATGAAAGCGAGCGACATCTTCAAATACACTGTCAACAGAGTATTTATGGCATCTGAAAATAACTGTGGCCACAGAAATATGATTTAACCAAAAACTTGTGGAGCCCATTCAAAAGAATGTTATTGATCCACAAATCCAAACAAACAGAAAAAAAGTGTTGCGGCTGCCGAATTTTTGGAGCTCTCATTTCCAGTCAAGCAAGTTGTTAATGATTTTGTTGTTCAGTTTTAGCTCAGGGCTGCTCTTACTCACACAAACTGTGGTGAAGTGATGCTAGCCTGCTGAAAGAGAGAGAAAAAAGTCACTCACTGATGAATTTGTTTTGCATAGCCTCCAGAAGGGCCTGGTGTGCGTTTTCAGCCTGCATGGCGGTTGAACACTCTCTGGCCAACATGGTGCGAATCAGATGCTCTCCAGAGCCTGAAACAGACCCACATTCGACAATTCAATATTATTGTTGTTTGACATAAACAACACAAGACGTCATGCACAGCAATTAAACGATAATTTCTTGTTTACAACAGTCATTTCCCATTCTCTAATTTGATCTATTAGTCCAAAAGTACAGAGACAGAGCTCAATTTCACTCTGATTTACTGCATTCATGGATAAATGGCAGAAATATATATATTTTTAATACTGAATTGCAGGTGCACTGATTTCCACAGCATTCTTTAAATTGCCAATAAGATTGTTTGTTGTGGCTGGCATTAAGGTACATCTTAAAACTATTTGTTGGATGTTCAGGCTGTTGCATTGGTTCAATTTCAACCAACTAATTCCTTTGCTCAACAGCAACAGATTTTTGGACATTTTTTCTGCAAACGCTAGAATATCAAGGCTGTGCTATAAAGCTCAATCTCTGCATTTCTCTCTCTCTCTCACTGTGAACCTTTGACCTAATGGCATGTCCTTGAGGTAATAATTCCTCTCTTATTTTCAGCTATTACAGTGATACTTTTATATACAGACACAAGCATGTTTGCAGAGTGAGTTTTCTCCACAGCGTCTATCAGAGGATCCGTCTATGAGCAGATATAGACAGCGGCTCATGGATCCACTGATAGATACAACTTTCAAATGCTTCAGTGTCCGTGTCACCACTCAGTGAAAGCACTGATCATTAAATCCGATTACAGCCATTTCTGTTAAGCATTTGAACACAATGACCAATGTGTTTTAGAACTCACTCTTTAAAGTGCTCAAAAACTATCAATATTATAAACATCCTTTGTGTATTTTTTCTAAATGCTCCTGTTGTTTTCTGTGTCTGTACTTGAGTTTTGTTTGATACACTGAAATTGGTTTATTGAATTGACAACATTTTTTAAGGTAAATTGTTGCAAACTATTTACATGTGCAGAGTTTAAACAATCAAATGTAATTTAGAAAAGTTTAACTTAATTTGTTTGTTTTAATTAAGCCCATTTAAATCGTTTGCAACAACTCACCTTAAAAAAAATAAAGAAATCCAATGAATAATTTTGTTTCTGTATACATTCAAGACGCGTTTTCTTTGAGCAGCATCATTTTTCATCACAGTCCCTATGCACCTGAAGCTGTGATTTTTTTTCCGTATTATGATGCAGTTCCTAGAGAAGCAGAATTTTAAATGAGCAAACAGTGGGTGTGCCTTGTTTTTTCTACCGCAGGCTAAATGGATGTAGTAAAGTAGGCATTTCATTCAGAAAGATCAGGAAAGGGGTTTTAGAAGAATTATCACAACCTAACAGACTCCTCCTGTTCACTATTTTCATTTGTTGTCAAAACTGAGAGTTGAAACAGCGTGGTTAAATATGTTAGCCATGCCCATTACCCCAAAATCAAGTAATCTGATAATTAACCTGAAAACAAACCGGAAGTGCATTTTTAGATTTCAATTAAAGATTCGAAGGGCAAACAATATTTTTTTTCTTAATGACATGCACAGGTTAATTGTTCATCAAAGATTTGCAATGTGAGCTAAAAAAAAAAATCATATGGATAGTTTTGATTTCTTGGGGACTTTAAAGCATCAGTTCATACATCTGACTCCATGAATTGAAAACAAAATTGTGTTATTGGGAAGTAAAAATTATAATTGTGGATGAAAAGCATCTTCTATGCATTGTGAAATCAAACTGAATAGAATCAAGGACATAATAATTGCAATCGAATCAAACCATGAGACTAATGTAGGTTGCATCTCCTAGAGAAAACCTATGCAAACAGAGGGCGAAAATGCTCCATACAGGACTTTTTTTTGCTGTAAGGCAACCGTGTTAACCACAGAGCCTCAATGCTGCCCCCTTTACTTCAAACATATATTTAGAAATTGCAAATCAAGAGAAACCAATAATTTTTTTATCTAAAAATTTAGAGGTGGGGGCCACGGTGGCTCAGTAATTTCACCACATAGCATGAAGGTTGCGGGTTTGAGTCCCCATCCTCATGTCTCCGTGTGTCTGTGTGGGTTTTCTGAAAGTACTTTGGTTTCCCCCTCAATCCAAAGACATGCGCTATAAGTGAATTAAATTAACTAAATTGGCCGTAGTGTATGAATGTTTCCCAGTACTGGGCTGCGGCTGGAAGGGCGTCCGCTGCGTAAAGCATATGCTGGAAAAGTTAGCGGTTCATTCCGCTGTGGCGACCTCCAAAATAGACTAAGCCAAAGGTGAATGACTGAATGAATGAATTCATAGGTGAAGATCATCTGCTGTTTCCATATGCACCAATTTAAAACAAATTATAAAATACAATAACAGATCATCTAGCTGTCAAGACACTAAAGAAAATTCCAATCATTTCCTTTTACAGGCAAACGTTTACAGCAGCCAGTGTGTAAAGGGAGGGAGTGTAAAGAAATGCCTAGAACACAAACCGCCTGGCAGCCGCTCAAGCCTAAGAAACCATAAAGCCTTAAGAAAACAGCACTGTTGTTTCTGTAAACACAAACGCGGGCCTTGTAAAATATCAGGTAACTACAACAAAACTCTGTGCGGGTTTGTCGTCATGACAATTAGATGCTAATTTCTTTTTTTTGTTTCTTCTTTTCTTTTTTTTTAGCAAAAGAATGAACAAACGATTGGCTCCACAGTTGGCTTGCTATTTTCGAGTTACCGTAAACCCTCTCATTCTCTCTTAAGAAATGGATGTGACTGGCAACAACACCACAAGTTAACAGTTAATTTAACAAGCAAACAGTGCCATGATAGTGCAAACTCAATTTCCAGTGGAAAGTAAATAAAACACAACAAAGCAGAGGTGGCATAAAGCGGGCAAATGTGGCGAAAAGAATCAACAGCGACTCGCCTTCAGCGGAACCGCATTGAGTGAAGGGTTGACCTGCGAGAAAGCGAGCTCTTTGTGTCAGGATGAAGCCAGAACGATTGTTTTTCTCCTCCTTTTGATAGGAACGCCTTTTAAGTTGGGAAATGAAAAGCAGGTGCACCGCTGGAGCGCACACTCGAACGGCCTGTCCTCACCGCCATGCGTTTTCAATTTCGAGGAGGATGAAAGAGAAATGCATGCTGAAATGGCCATGGGGGGAGAAGGTGATAAAATGTGTGATTCTGCTTTTGTTTTTGGAATGGCGGGTGATCAAAAACAAAAGACGCACAAAAACACGATGCGGGTTTCGTGCCTGTTGCACTGAGTTTGTGTGATTATAAAGTAAAAATGTCAACAGGGAGCACACATGTAAAACAGCGCTCGTAATATCTCAGAGCTGTTCGATCAAGCAATAGGGTGCATCGCACGAAATCTGTCCAACGCATGGCTGGGTAATATTTCCTATCAAATCAAGAATCAATAATAAGAAATATTGCATTTTACGAGTGCTATGCTGTGCTGGCGAATGATTTAATCTACACAAAAGCTAAAAAATATATATACAATAAATAAATGAAAACATTTTGGGGGTGGTTTAACTTGAAAATAGTTTAACTTTGAAATAAATTAAAACTAAAATATTATTTAAACAAAAAAAAAACCCAAAAAAAACTAATTAATAGCACTAATAAAAATGACACAAAACAAAATTATTGTAACTTTCACAATTTAAATAAAATGCAATAAAATGAAATTTACACCCACCTGCTACTTTATTAGGTACACCAGTCCAACTGGTCGTTAACTCAAATTTCTAATCAGCCAATCATATGGCAGCAACTGTCAAGCATGTAGACATGGTCAAGAGGATCTGCTGCAGTTTAAACCGAGCACCAGAATGGGGAAGAAAGGTAATTTAAGTGGCTTTGAATGTGGCATTGTTGTTGGTGGCAGACGGACTGGTCTGAGTATTTTAGAAACTGCTGATCTACTGGGATTTTCACACAAAAGCACATCTAGGGTTTACAGAAAATGGTCCGAACAAGAGAAAATATCCAGTGGGGGGCAGTTCTGTGGGTAAAAATGCCTTGTTGATAACTACAGTGTACCCATCTTCTGATAACGCACCATGTCATAAAGCGCAAATCACCTTAGACTGCTTTCTTGAACATGTTAATGAGTTCACTGTACTCAAATGACCTACAAACTTACAAGATCCCAATCAAATTGAGCCCCTTTGGGATGTGGTGGAATCGTGCATGATGCTATCATGTCAATATGGACCAAAATCTCTAAGAAATATTTCCAGTACCTTTTCAAATCTATGTCACAAATGATTAAGTTAGTTCTGAAAGCAAAAGGGGGTCCAACCTGGTACTAGTAAGATGTACCTAATAAAGTTGCCGGTAAATCTTAAAAACAGAAAATAATTAAAAATTTTAAAAGCAGTATACATATAAAAATTGTAACGGCTGCTCTACAATACTAAACACTTGATTTTTATGTTTGTATAATGCAAAACAAAAAACATTTTGCAGCTAGAAGTTTACATTTTAATTAAATTAAATAAAACAATTTGTATTCAAACTTTAGAAACAAAGAAAATTATTAATAACAATGAGAAAACAAAAATGGTTTTAACTTTTAAACTAAAATAAAACTGACAATTTTGAAAATAAAAACTTTTTTAAGTACATGAATAAAAAATAAAAAAAGTTTTAAGAAGAAAGAAAAAAAATGAAAGAAGAGCATGCTTAACGGGCCCTAAATTAACAAAACAGAAAATAAACAAAAAGCATTATGCATATAAAAAAACTACAAGAGTAAGTTTTCAAAAACTATTTTTTTAAAAGTCCGTCAAATGCAAAGTCTCCGCAAGATGCAAAACAAACTCTCACAAAAAGCTTGTGCTACTAACAGTAACATCGCCAACATTTTTTTTTTGTTGGTTGTTTTTTTTCCCCCAGAGGAAGTCATACATGCTGCACCCCTGTGCAACATGCCAAGCCTGAATGAGTCCCAGTCTCTCCTCAATGAGCCAGGTGTGTGTTCACTGCAGGGCTCAGGCCAGGCCAAAGGTGCTTTCACACAAGAGTGCCGGAGGACAAAGTGTGAAGGAAAAAAAGAAAAGAAATATGGCCTTCATCCTCCTCAAACACTCTCTGGAAGTTGTGCAAGTGATTATGGCACATGGAAGCATATTACCAAAGGCTACAGTTCCACAATTCAAAGCCAAGCAGAGTCTTTTTACAAGGTGCCTGGTTGTTAAAGCAACGTCGCTACCTTGTGAAATATTATAATAAAGTTACAGGTGCAGTTATGGTGGAAAAGTTATTCGGGGTTATGTGCAAATTTACTGCAGTGAATGAGGAGATTGGATGCATGAACTATTTAATAAACTTAATTTACTATGCATTTTCTATGGCCACATCAGGTTTGTGCAAATTAGGCATGGGCCGGTATAAGATTCTTATGGTATAGTAACCTTGGGTAAATATACATTATGATCATTGCTCTAAAATAAGTCCCTTTTAAATGTCTGGATGAAAAACAACACATTTTCCCCCATTGAACACAATATATTTGATTTTTTTTTTTAATTTTGGAACAGAAAATAAGTCGGGCTAAATAATTAAAATACATCATTTATGTCCGCTATGTTTATTAGTTTCAAAAACACAGATTTCTGTACAACTTTAAAAGGCTTTTTTAGATATCTTTCTTTTTTTTGTATATAAAGTAAGGCACTGCACTGTTCAGATCTATAGCATGCTTGTATGTAAGTGCATAAAGGATTGTTGGTCTAAAAAAAATAAAATAAAATAGTCATAAAAAAAAACATGTTAAAAAAAAACGAAACAAAACTTACATATACCGTAGGAACCGTATGACAAAAAAATTGAAGACATTTTAAAACTTTGACTTCTCCAAACCATGGTAAACCTTGAAACTGGTTATATTTATTATATTATACTTAATGCAAATATAAATGATTTTCTCCTTCAGATAAAAAGAGTTACTGTAACAACAGTACAGTATAATGACATGAATAATTATTAGGGCTGTCCACCTCATAGTCAACTATTTGACAAGAGGTCTACAAATATCTTAGGAAGACAATTAAAAGTGTGGGACACTAGCTACGTTTCCATCCATCTATTTTGCATTTTGGATAAGCGCATAAAAAAAACAATTGATGGAAACGCCAGGATGAAAAAATGTGCATACAAAACATATACATAACTGAGTAGGATAAACTTTTTATTTGATAAGAAACGATGCGCATAAACTACTATGGAAACACTTTTACCAAACAAATTCCAGTATGCACAATAAAAAGGTCATGTGATTATATTATAAGAGATCATGATGATAAAAATGTGTGTGAATGGATAAACCAGAGGTCTGGGCACATTGTAAAACATCTGAAATGTTGTTTTGGTCATTCTAAAACGCCATAACTGTTTCACTATTAGTGTAATTATATTATTATTGACCTCCAGAATCAAGAGCATCTGTGATCCGCGTCTCACGCCTTCAAATGTCAAATTTCATTTTTACAGTTGATATTTGGCACCAGTTGGTCAGAAAGTGACGATTTTGTTCGCTTTGATTTATTGGAAGGAAATGCAGCTTTATTCGCACGTCTTGTATGTGATATTCCAGTTTTGCGCAAAAAGTTACTTTTTACATACAAGTTACATTTTTGTATAAAAACATAGCTATACATAGCAGCCCTCTTATACAAGAAATTTTTAAGTATTGGGGTCATTTTCTTTTCGTTTTTTTTTTTATTGTTCATCAAGGCGGCATTTATTGAATGCAAAATAAAATTAATTGGTAAATATTTATTAAAATTTTAATAACTGCTTTCTTATTGAATGTAATTTCAAATGAAATTATTACTTTAGTCACAATTGCTTTACTATTACCATTATTATTATTATTAGAAGTAGTATTATTAATAACAATTAAAATCAGAGTGTTTTTTGAAGGATCATGTGACTGAAGACTGAAGTATTGAAGCTAAAAACTCACATGTAAAATCCCTGAAATAAATGATTCAATGAAATTATAAACTACTCTTGAACAGGTATTTTATAGTGCAACAACATTACAAAATTTTACAATTTATACTGTATTTTTTATTAAATAAATGCAGATTTGGTTTTAAGCTTATTTTAAAACATTTTAAAAAATAAATAAAAATAAAAATCACACTGACCCCAAACTTTTGACCGGTAGTGTATCTATAAGTTATTCTGTTTAACGTCTAAACTGAAAAGTTTTCATTCAAGGTTTAACTCAAGGATTAACACATTTATGGCATTTTAAATGTTTTTTTTTTTTTTTTTTTTGCTCTGTATTCATTTTCTAATCTGTTTTATATTAAATATATTTCCAAATTTCAAGTAGAACACTATCAGTTGGTTTAATTGCACAAAAGATACCAATGTGTCAAACAATACCAATGTTTTAACATTACACCCTGATTTTCAATATCAGCATTTAAAAAAAACGATGATACTGCCATTTTCTGTTAAAAAAAGCTGAATTTGCTTGATTAGAAATAGTCAACTTTTGCAATATTTGTACAATTTTATTTTCCTATATTTTTAAAATATAATTTATTGCTGTGATTTATTTCATGCTGAATTTCAGTTTAATGGTTTCTATTTATATTTAAAGTAAAAAAATAAACACATTAAAACAAGTCCAAATCAACATGGCGACACACTCTTATGAAGACCTGAGGATGAGTAAATTAACTGTAATAATAATAATAATGATGATGATGATAATAATTATTATAATAATATAATGGATTGTTATGCCTTTAATAATTTTGTGAAAACCAATTATTTTAAAGGGATAAAAAAACAGTAACAGAAAAATCTAGAAGCATCTAAATCACATTTACATTTAGTCATTTAGCAGACGCACATCTGACTAAATTGTGTCTTTAGTTTCTAAAGTGACATTCATGTGCAATATGTTCATGCAGTGCATACATCAACAAAAGTGATGTGTTGTGATGTAACGTGTCCACCCAAACATAGATTTAATCTTTTCTTTAATCCTGACCTAAAGAAGACATCTCTTCCAGCATCTATTCAAACGCAATCATCTCATCCTCTTCCATGTCTAGCCATGAATAACAGTCTGTCTTTTATCGTGACTGCTTTAAGAAATCCAGACTTCCCTCAATGGGCACAATAGAAATGCATGCTTGCATCTGCTGTATGGAGATGTGAATCATGTCTGTGGCCTATTGACTATGGCAGAGTCAATATAATGGAGAAAAGCTCATTTTATTCATGTGACAGAAAGCATTAGTTTAAAACACGATGCGCGTAGCCTTTGGGCCTTGCTCACAGCAGGAATCCTAAGCAAAGCAGAAATTCTCTTTTTTGCTTATGAAATATGTCCTTGCTAAGCAAGTGGATAATGGCATTAAGATGTTGGCCAGAAAAATTGACATCCATATCAGGGGAGAAGAAAGGACAGAAAATGACAAAAAGCTTGGCTGGTAGAAGGTTTTACTATAAAGCTCCAAGCTACAATTGTAATATTGTCATCTGGACTGTGTTTGTAGACAGAGTTCTTAACAGAAGACCCCAAAATGACAGAATTGAAGCCTTGCGAAACCTACCAAAAAGCAGAAAATGAAGAGAAATGTGACACTAATATGACGCTGGTGTTTTTGATACCTGAGGTACTCACAGCTGTAGAGTAAAGGCTGACGTCACGGGCGTTTTCAGCCCAGCAGCCACATCCATAGTGAGCAGCCTGAAACACAAAGATTGTGCAACTTAAATGTTTTATGTTCAATCCACTTACATTTGTAAAAACAATTAACTTAACTGATTTGTGTTTGGACAACATGAAGAAATTGCGTTGAACCCAGTTTTTTTACAGTGAGGATACAATGCATTTACACTTTCACACGCACACAAAAAAGAAAAAAAAATATTTCAAATATTTCAAATATTTCTAAAACTAAACTCTTCTAAAATTAAATAATCCGAAAAAAAAGTTACTACGAAGCATATTAATTGTTTTTAAGTGCACTACTTCACTTGATTTTGGTTTTGTTGTTAAAAAAAATGAGAAAATGGGTAAATTACTGTGTTAAATGAGAAAATGAAATGTTTTATGGCATACTTCAACAAATAAAGATGATTTAGTACTCAAAAATGTTTTATTTTGATTGTTTTTAAAATAATTGTTCTTAAACTTCATATTTTCTGATTTTCATAGGATATGTATTAACTTTGGCACTTCTACTATAAACCAACAACCATTTGGTAGAGATTGATTTTTTTAGAAATTATGGGATGTTTTGAAAAAAAAAATGCATTGAGTGTGTTAACTAGCTACATTAGGAGTTAAAAAATGCAATCCAAACATTTTTCTATAGCTTTTTCCCTGGTGGGGCAGGTATAGGGTTAAATATTGTAATTACATAATAAAGCATTAATATTTTTTTCTGTATATTTTTTCAAAGAAATTAAACTTTGGTGAGCCTTAAAGACATTTAAACCTTTAAAATGAGTCCATGTGTATTTTTAAAAAGTAATAAAATCAATACAATATGAAACATAGGTTAGGTTAGGTTGCTTTATTCATACCTGAAGCTAGATTTGGTTTGCAATCAAGAGTCCTCATTTAATAACAGTGCCACACAGAAAAAAACTCACATAGCGACAACAACAAATGGACATAAAGACATAAACATACAAAAAACGTATAAAGAAAAAATTAATAATCAATTCAAGTATCCATCCCCCAAATAAATGTTTAAAACAATCTATAAAATAAAAAGCACAAGTCACAGAACCACCTCTGCTTTACTCTATGCCTTATTTAAATGTCTTATGGCTGCTGCTGTAAAACTATTTTTGTATTGTTTAGTTCTACAGCTTCACACTACAAACCAGTGACCAGAAGGAAGGAGCTGAAATTTTTTTATTTGTAATTCTCTTTAGCTGCCTGGTGTACACAGCATCCAGATTGGCTAGTGACACCCCAGTCAGCTTGCTGGACCTCTTAACTATTTGATTTGATTTGTTTTTATTCTTAACAGAAAGATTCCCAAACCATGACACCAAAGTTAAACATGTTAATTGGCTTAATTAATTTAGCGAATGGATATTTCCTTCAGTCGTTTTCACACATAACCTGAGCCTGTTCAAATATATTGTACAAGCTTCTGTTATTTCTACTGTTGTTCTTTCATTTATTACAGTGCAATTAGAGCTTTTCCACTGTAGCGGCACAGTAATTACATGACAGTTGCAATATTAATGTAGTGAGACATAATTACAATATACATTACACTAAAACCAAACATGAAGAAGTATCTCATAATTATGCACAACACGATGGTCAAAAGCAATCTCAAACCAATTAGTTTAGTGGCTAATCCATGAATTTGTTCAATATCATGCATACATTTTCTTACAGTCTGTTCATGTCTTCAGTGATGACTGTTTAAAGCTCCATTCAGACCACACAATTTGTTCAATGTTGGTGTAACTTTTGATATAGGGTGTTAGGAGAAAAGAATCTCTTCCGTACAAAATGGAGAGGGGACTGCTGCAAGGTGGACATAAAATGAAAGAAAGGTTTGTGGAGTTATGGTAACAGTGCATTTGACTGTATGATGTGTCTTCAAAAGACTAGCATGACAGAATGATCAACAAAAAAGATAAATTATGGCAGTTAATTAACTCATCAGCCTGGTGAGTACTGGAATTAGCAGCAAATCACTCATTATGTTCTCATTCAAGGTAGCGACATAAGGTCTGCTATTCATGGATTCATTTGTGGTGGAGGAGGAGTTCATTGTTTGTAGGTAACATTAACTGATTGTCAACAAAAAGTTTTGTCATTTATGCTTAGTTCATGAGCACAGCTGGGTTAAGCATGGTGTGAACGTGTGTATGTGTGTGTAAAGGTAGCTCCCGAACACCTGGCTCTTTTAGTCTTTATTTACGATAAATTACAGCTGAATATCTGGATGATACTTTGTGAAAACACTTTGAAATAACAATGACGAGTAGAAAGCAAAATTGGTCTAAAATTGGTGACAAAGGAGAGGCTTCGAGTATGACTGACAACACGGCGCCATTTGCCTAAAATTTGTTTACAGCTGTTGTTGGGAAACTACTTCTGCAGCCCCAAAAGCACATCTTGCTGGCACAGAATGTGTCTACTTATCTACTGATTCATTCAGAAAACGCGCACATATATAAGGAAATCTTCTGTCTGTGGGAAAATTACAGAGACATTTATAATGTATGTGGTTGATGACACCATGTGTGAAATGTATGTGATTAGATGTAAACCTTTTTTTATAAATAGTAATTACTGCATAATCTGAATTAGCCACTGTCGCAACATACAATATAAAAAGTGTAGTCTAAACAGGCCTTAAGAGGTGTAGTTAGAGACTTTCAAAAAGTCATACATTTTTGTACAACTGACATTTTCTGAATTAGCCAATAATCCGACAATAGGGGATGAAATTTCCATCATGGTGAGTTGCGCTCCACCATGTTTAATGACATGCTCAGACGTGCACAATTGTAAATCAAGTTTTATAGTAGGCCTAATATATTTTGAAAAACACTGTACAAACACTAAACCGTCTAATGTGTAAACATCTTTTATTTTAAAAGTCTTTGTGGCGCATTTTTCCTTTCCAATACTCTACTTTTCTATAGATTTTCAATGAAAACACACACTTGATGGATAGTGTGTGACCGCTACTCTCGCCTTTTGTAGCACCACACACGTATTGCATTTTTTTAGACACTATGTCAAGCTAAAATTCAACTTCAACTATTACAAACGGCACTATTCATCACTGTCAGGTTTAAAGCAATGGACCAATCAGAAGAACTCGTTGGCGGGCCAAACACTGCAAGTTTCTGTTTACTGGACACCTTCATGCTTTATGCTGCATTTTGTTTTAGTTTTTTTAAACCATTCCGAAGCATTGCATCTCATATTTTCTAAGGGTAAAGATACTGTTGATGTGAATAAGCCCTTTGTGTGTCTGAGAAAATGAAAATATTACTTCCATAATATTTCTATCTTCAGTGCTAAAGTGAAACTAAAAAAGCAGAGCATGGACACAGAGGAAATAGATCAAATGAATGAAGGAGCTTATCTGCAAGCAGGGTATCATAAACTTCTATACATGATTTTTTTATTAATTTGTAGTTAAAGTGCATAAAGTTTATTGCATATCAGTGTATACACAATGTGATAAACCTATAGAGATCAATAGAATCTAGGTTACTCTATCTCAAATGTCCTGAACGCATTGCACTGATGACACACATTCACTCTCTATAGATGAATTACCATATTTGTAAAATACTGGAATGAAATCCGATGCGGTACAGAGTTTATCGTTGTCTTAGAAATGTTATATTGATTACATATTATATCTATTATTTACACAATGCTTTCAGCATATTATAACAGCTTTTCACCCAGTGATAAGCACAGTTATTCGGCAAAATTAACGTTAAAGTGAGTGGCGTTCATCTGACAGGTCCATTTGCCATAGCATAGTTCCAATGGATATTAAGCATCCAGCTCGAAATAAATAATCTTATTGAAACTCCAAGTGTTTTTACAAGAGAGAAGTTCAAGTCCTAAAGTCTTTGAATGCCAACAATTTTGTTTTGTGTGTTCATGTGAAAGAAATAATGTTCCATGATTACCATAATGTGTATGATTCAGCATAGCGTGAAATTACCTGATATGAAATGAGAACTGCAGAGTCCAGCATCTTTAATTAGGTCGTCACTTCATTCGGCTCCCTTTTAGCCAAAGACATCTGCGGTTGGCATTAAAAGCAGTGTGGTGTACGGTAAAAGTTAAGTCGAATTTGGCATCCTACCGCACAACACAACATTTTGCTATTGCAAACGGTCTTTTTTTGCAACCGGAAACCCGTGTGACGTCATGTGTGAATTAGGTAAGTATTTCCTCTTTACTTTTCCCATAAGATTGAGCTAGATGGTCAAATGGAAATCAAATCAGACACAAAAAAAAAAAAAAGTTCACCTGTCCCACTCGACCCGGGTGTTTCATAGCCAGACCTCCGCTGGAAACCGCAGCTGCCACATTCCCTTCCCAGTCCACAACGACTGCACCAACCGTATCCAGACAGGCCGAGTTATTCTCCTCACCTTCCACCGGCTCCAAGCAGCCAAAGTCATTCTCCTGCACACACCATTCATAACATTCAATTACAATTTCCTATGGCAAACACAGATAATAAACAGCATAGTTTCTGCAGTCTATCATCATGAGTTCATTTACACAGTCAAATCAAAAGTTAATGTAAGAGTCAATGTATCTTCATACTAAGCCATGGGGCCAAAAAAAAAAAAAGAGGAACAAAGAGGCTGTGGTTATTGGCAGCATCAAAAACGGCACATTTCCAAAGCCCAGGATAATACTAGACTGAAACACATTGAACATTGTAATGTTTTCTTTTTTACTTCTTGTCATGTCTATGAAGTTGGCTTTCAGACCCAGCTGGCTACCATAACCAAACTTGAACTCTGACAGACTTGGGAACTGGAATACACGTCGCTATCTAGCTTGAACAAATAAAGTTCAATTATATATCAGCATCTGAAAAATGATCCTCGGGCCCTCATTTATAATAAGCAAAGTGGCCATTCTTAAAGGACTGTTTTCATTTGCTGATTGCTGTGTACTTTGGAAAGAGCGCTGATGTGAACTGAAGGAGTCCTAGAGTTGCTTGACAAATTAGTCGTTCCTGGGAAACTCAAAAGAAAGGGACGTGATGACTTTTAATTTATAATTTCATCTTCCCATGAAGAGCGTGTCATTCCTGGTCCACTGATCTTTAGACCTCAGCTGATTATGCCTGATAACTTTCTGAAATATGAGTGAACGGGCTAAAACAGAATGTTATTATTATTGATCTCACCATCAGCAATAAATCTGACAAACTCAACTTCAGTGCAACATCTGCTCAAAGACCTTTCCAAAGGGGGGATCATCAATTTCCTTCTCCTTTGTGGCTTTCTGTTTATACAACTTTTACGTCTTAAAAATTGTTTTGTTGTGTCATGAAAGCAGATTTCCTCTGGTGCTTCTTGCATGGCAAAGAAAAATGACATTAATATGAAATGAATGTAATATATTTTAGTCCAATAGAGTTTGTCATTTCATATTTTGTATTTGCATGAGATTTTTAGGTTATCAAGTTATATTTATATACTAGTTATAATCCAATTTATTACCCATTAACCACTTTGAGTGCAGACCTGAAATTCCTACCTTAAACTTTGAGGTAGAGGGGGGAAAATTATATAATAATAATATCATTAATAATCATAATAATAATTCACAAAATACTTAAAAACATTAAAATAGGAAATAAAACTAGTTTTTTGGTAAAAGTGTATTATAAAATTTACAGAAACAACAGTAATATAAATGTCAAGTAATAATTAAAGTACATTTTCATATACAAGTACATATTTTGGACCTTCATTGTAAAAAATGCTGGGTCTTAAATAGGGATGCAATGATTAACAGATTTCACTATTAACCATGCTTTAATTTGTCTGGGTAAATTAATAATTTCTGCACAGAACAAAACTAAAAAAAAATAATAATAATAAAAATTCTAGTCACTTCAATATTACAGTAGATTTTTTTACACTTCATCATCATTTAAAAATAAATCTATACATGGTTGAAGGCAAAATTATTAGGCCCCCTGAATTATTACCCCCTCTATATTTTTTCCCCAATTTCTGTTTAAAGGAGAAGATTTTTTTCAACTTATTTCTAATTATGATAGTATTAATAACTCATCTCTAATAACTGAATTATTTTATTATTGTGTAATGATGGTTTGTTCTGTAGACTAAAGAAAAAAATATAGCTAATATTTTGACCTCAAAATGTTTTTTTTTTTTTTTTTTAAATCAAAAACTGGTTTTATTCTAGCCGAAATAAACCAAATAAGACTTTCTCCAAAAGAAAAAATATAACATACTGTGAAAATGTATGAAATAATATATAAATAAATAAATAAAATATATGAAAACAAATTCAAAGGGGGGCTAATAATTTTGACTTCAACTTTATACACACACACACGCACACACACACACACACACATACACAAATGCAAACATTGTGTATTGCTTAACAATACTTTGTATGTACAGTAGATATTATGACTTATGACAATTTCAGGCCTGGAAAGATTGCTGGTGTAGGGCTGGGTTTCCGGGGCATATGCCCTGAATAGATTTAGTTAACCCCCCAAATGTTTTTTAAGCACCTTTCTTTTCACCCCAAGTTTATGCCTAGCCATTTGTGGTTTTTGCAAAACTATTCTGAGGCATAAATCTGACCATAACCCTTGCAAATCCATAATTACATTTTTCTCAAGCGCTCTCATTCTGCAAACATCGTCACATATCTTTAAGATTCCCAAATATTTACAGGCCCTCTGAATAGAAGGAAAACTTAAGTGCTAAAAATCAAATCCACAGGGAACATGCAGAAGTTACAGGAAACAACTCCGTTTTAAGTTAAATGCAATAAAATAAGTGTGAACTCCTAGACCCCCGAGACATCCATGCCAAGCAAATGCATTACTTCCCCAGTAAAACAATAAATATGCCACTTATAAAATCAAACAAACCACAGGCCACTTGAGAGAAGACTGGGGGATGTGTTGTTATCTTAATGACCATTTAATGCATAGCATCAGTGAAAAGTCTTTACTGAAGGAAGAAAGCGCATGTGGCATCCCAGAGGCACACATCATTCATGCAGACAGAGCCGACAGAAATCATTTACTTTAAACCGATGCTATCTTTAAAACAAACCGTACAAGGTTTTCCAACACCAATCCTGAGCACCGCATAAACCAATGCAAGTTAAACCACAACGTATTTGTCTTTCTCTTTGAATAACATTTTCACCCACATTTTCAGACAGTGTAATTTGCAACTAATGACCCTCAAGTGACCCAACGTTTCACTTTCTCATTGGGACCACACAAGCGTCACCATCGCGGATGGATCTGCACTGGAACCTATTTTCCCTCGACACCTGCATTCCATGTGTACCTGTCAAATCGCTTCCTTGAAAATTGACCAAAAAAGTAGGAGAGATGCTAACATGTACGGGAAATAATTCGGTGAAATGACTTCAAGATGTGGGTGCAGGACTTTGGCAGCATTGAAGTACCATGGTCTCAAATCACATTGATGACGCTCTTAAAACTCTTGTACAATTCATAAACCTCAGCATTTTTAGTTTTTTTTTTTTTTTTTTTGTAAATGTGAAACAAATATGCTCTTTCTTAGTTTCTTTTTAGAATAAATACACTCCTGGTCACTTTATTAGGTACACCTTATTAGTACAGAGTTGGACCCTTGCCTTCAGAACTGCCTTAATCCTTCATGGCATAGATTCAACAAGGTACTGGAAATATTCCTCAGATATTTTGGTCGATATTGACATGATAGCATCACACAGTCGCTGCAGATTTTTGGGCTGCACATCCATGATGTGAATCTCCCATTCCACCACATCCCAAAGTTGCTCTATTGGATTGAGCTCTGATGACTGTGGAGGCCATTTGAGTACAGTGAACTCATCATCATGTTCAAGAAACCAGTCTGAGATGATTCATGCTTTATGACATGGTGCGTTTTCCTGCTGGAAGTAGGCATCAGAAGATGGGTACACTGTGGTCATAAAGGGATGGACATGGTCAACAACAATCCTCAGGTAGGCTGTGGCGTAGACACAGTACTCAATTGGTACTAATGGGCCCAAAGTGTGCCAAGAAAATATCCCTCACACCATTACACCACCAGCAGCAGCCTGAACAATTAATATAAGGCAGGATGAATCCATGTTTTCATGGTGTTGATGCCAAATTCTGAACCTACCATCTGAATGTCACAGCAGGAATTGAGACTCATCAGATCAGGCAACGTTTTTCCAAATCTATTGTCCAATTTTGGTGAGCCTGTGAAATTTGCAGCCTCAGTTTCACGTTCTTAGCTGACAGGAGTGGCACCCAGTGTGGTCTTCTGCTGCTGTAGCCTTTCTGCCTCAAGGTTCGACATGTTGTGCATTCACTGATGCTCTTCTGCATACCTTGGTTGTAACGAGTGAGTTATTGTTGCCTTTCTATCAGCTCGAACCAGTCTGACCATTCTCCAACAACCATGCCAAGTCACTTAAATCCTCTTTCATCCCCATTTTGATGCTCGGTCTGTATTGCAGCAGATTGTTTTGACCATGTCTACACGCCTAAATGCATTAAGTTACTGCCATGTGATTGGCTGATTAAAAAATGGCTTAACAAGCAGTTGGACAGGTGTACCTAATAAAGGAGCCGGTAAGTGTATACAGGCAAACAAAGTCACAACAAAGCACTTTTTGTTTTCTCATAACAGACGATTGATATTATTGATATTGATGGATTCTCAAACTATTTGTTTGATTTTATTCTCTAAATTTTAATTTCATCTTCAGATGTTTTCCATGTTTTTTTGGCAACTGTACACATACAGTAGTAGGACATCAACAGTGGCATTCATTTTATAATATCAAACTGAGCCCAACAACAAAGACTTGGCTAATCGGATCAACCTGGAGGATTTTTTGCACAGTCAGCATGAGGTCTGGACTTTGACTGGACCACCATGATTTATTTATTTTTAGCTGCTCTGTTGTAGATTTGCTGGTGTGTTTGGGATCGTTGTCTTGGTGCATGACCCAGTTTTGGCTAAGCTTTAGATGCTGGACATGAATTGTGTTAATACACCTGAAGGCTCCAGAACAACAAACTGCTAAAACGTCTGCTGATGAGTAAAGTCATTTGATTAGCAGTGCCTCATTTATTTTCGTTGATGCCATGTTGTCGCTTATCAGTTTGTACTGATTTTATTTACAAAATATTAAGATCTGCGCAAGACTAGACAACTTTTATACCCCAATATGGAAAAGGTGAGATTTCGTTAGGTGTTCATTTTCACATGTCTGTAGAAAATAGAAATTGTATGAAATCTGACTGGTTTCAGCTGGAGTTGCTATCTGTTTATTAAAGTATAGAAAGCAATAGGAACTAAATTTCACAGTAATGTTATCAAAAATGCTGAACCATATTGATGGAAATGAGAGGTGGTACATTTTGAAAGCACACACTTTTTAAATTGTTGCCTGTGTTTAGAAGCACACTAGCTTATACACATTCTGAAACACTACAATTACTGAGGCGGTCATTTTAAACAGTTTTAATTTTTTGAAATTAACTAACTGTTAAAAATAAAACACACATATCTGTTTTCCCTGACTTTTTCTCAATATATGTATACTTCCCTTTAACGTTGTTTTAATTAAAATTACAAAACACAAGAGTTTTGAATATTTCTACCTAGAACTACAGTATCTGTCAAAATGACTGCATGCACTTCAGTTGTCTGCTACTTTTCCCTCTGACTTTAAATATGCATACCTCTAATGCCTAGCAACTCTCTGCTATCAAAAACATAGCTTTCTGTTGGCAAGAACATAACTTTTCTTCAGATATGTCTTTTCTAAACAGCATAGTTAGTGCTACAAAAGCAGATGCCCTTCCAGCTGCAACCCAGTACTGGGAAACATTGAAACACTCATTTACAGACAACGGGAACACAGGGAGAACATGCAAACTCCAAACAGAAATGCCAACTGGCTCAGCAGGGACTCGAACCAACAAGCTTTTTTATGTGAATAATGACAAACATTTAAAGCTTAAATTTATTATTTCAATAGAAGCTTTGACTGTAAATATGATATGACAATATGACGTCTTATATAAAAATGGTTAGAATAACCTCTATGGTAATTCTAGTTACTGTAGAATTATAGTAGTTCTAGTGTTAAGGCAAACAAAAACATACTAAAGGTCTCTTTAAAAAAAACTAAATTTAACTTTCACGTTAAAACATTATTACTTAATCATTTTAAAAAGCCTAACTGGCAACCCTACAATCTAAAGGTCTGCATTTCCACAGGACCTGACCAGATTTCTTTCGGCGCGGGAAAAGATTTGCTAATAAAACATGGTTGCGGTGGACAACTCTGGTGTGATTTAGAGTGTGAAGTCTAACAATATAGCAATCCTGAGTCCCGATGTTATTTCGGAACAGTATATCTTTGATTTCTTCATTTTTATTGAGCACCTGTACAGCCAGTGCTCATGACTGTTACACATGATGAAAGCATGACCAGTGCTTTCTGCACATGCTCTTATTCACAGTCTGTGCGCGCATCATCTTCATAACGCTCCTCAGAGCGGGCTTTACCAACATAGGAGGGCAAAGTGAAGAAAACGGTCAGTTAACTTTTAGGAAACCCCCATCAGGCAGTCATGATGTATGAGAGTCTTTTTGCTCTCATAGATGCAACTAGAAAAAAATTACCCTTTGCGCAATGGGATTATACCTCAAAGTTTTACCCGTGAGCAGTCACATAACTGGAACCGCAGATTTTGGAAACCAGATCTAAATTTAGCAGGAATGGTCGGGTCTAGGCATGGGACGATAACCATGTTCAAGGTATACGGCGGTTTGGAAAAGTCAAGGTTTTAAAACCGCCAAAATGTTCTGTAATACCGTTCCTAAGGTATGTTTACGATTTTTTATTGACTTTTTTGTTGTTGTTTTTTTAGAAAAACAGTATCTTCAGCAGAAAAATATATCCAAAGATGGCGTTTTAAAAATGTAAAAAAAAAAAAAATGTGTGTTTTAGAAACTAATGAAGACAGCAGAAGTCAAGGATTCATATGAATTATTTAGCCGTACATGTTTCCTGCTTCAAAATATTTTAAATGTTTCCCAAATTTAAATATATTGTGTAGAAAGGGGAAAAGGGTTTGTTTTTTACCCAGATATTTAAAAAGAATATTTTAGAGCAGTAATCTTGATACCGTGATATTTATTTACATGGTTATCTACCGTCAGAATGTTATAACGGCCCATGCCTAGTCGGTTTGGGTAGAAAATGGGGCGGGTCGGGCAGAGGGGGAACAAAGGCTGAATATACGGCAGGAGCGGTCGGGTGCGGAATAAAAGCTTGTGGGAGCGGAACTAAAAAGTTTGTCCCGCACAGATCTCTACTACAATGGTGTATAAAATAAATTGTATGTTTAGAAATGTGCTGTTAATAATGAAACCTTCTTTTCTGAATATTAAAAAAGGTAATAGCAATTTATGTCCATTTTTTTTTTCACTGCTTTTTTTTTTTCAAAGCAGTGTGTTTAAACATTTTATTCCTGACTTACAATCTTAGTCAGTGTTTCTTTTCCCTCAGAATTGGACTTTTTTTGCAGTTGCAAGAATATAAAGTATCTCGTGATTTTGTCTTAACAACTAGCAAATATGAATTGCCTCATGTAAAAAACAGCAACTAACAATTACCTTCCCTTTTTTCCCTCAGCAGTGGAAACAGGCTTCCACAGTAAATGGATAAACTCATTCTCATCTCATTCTCACCTCTGCCTGATGAACTTGTGTTACAAGAGTGCCACAGAGAAGCGTGTCACCCAAGTCAAATTCCTGGTGTGCAGTGCCATGTCAGCAGTGCAGAAAGTGTGTGTATGCGTGTTTCCTGTGATTGTGAGTAATTGAGGTCTCCACACCCCCCTTCAAGGTCGTCATTACCCGACGGGTTTCCTCCTCTGGGTATATGTGGTGGTTTTGAATTAGAGGACTGAACAGATGCAGATCCTGTTATCAGTCGAGTAATAATGTCAGAGCAAATGCCTCCGCTGCACTGTGTTTAGGCCTAATTAAATGCGTTGAACTAAATGGGAGGGTGGAAACCTATAGATACTGGAGCATTTAAAGGGAGAAACTTGCATATTTAGTTTATCCTTTTATTTTTAATCAGAGCGTTTAAGAAAAAACACATGTCAGAAATAAACAGCATATCCTGAAGGTTAAACCTTTCCCTTTTATTAACAAAGACATAAAAAGAAACTCCAGATCTGACAAAGGACAGGGGTGTTTTGATGGTAGTACTATTTCTGAACTCATGCCCCACCCACACTGAAATCTCATTGGTCCTCTCCACAAAACAGTATATTAAACTATTAGAATATCACCTAATACAGTTGACCAATTGATCAATTATTTTTACTAATTGGTAAGATTTTGCAATAGGACAAATTTATAATTTATTATTATTATTAATAATAATAATATCAAAACACCTTTCATTCATAAAAAAGCAGTTCAGAATTCATCACAAAATTTAAGAAGCATTAAAAAACACAAAAAACAAAAATATATTATTACATAAATTATATTTAAAGAAAACCTTTAGGTTCACAAGGGTAAAAAATACTTTTTTTATTGTAATTTCTATAATATGAATGTAATAAAAATAAATACATGCTGTACAAATCACAACCTCAATAAGAATAAAAATAAAATTATAGAAATGAATATTATTATATTTACACTTAATGTATTAAATATATCCTAAGTACATTTTTGTAACTAATGTAACCTTATTAGTTCTATAAATTTTCATTCACTAACATGAGATAACATTGGTTAATGAAGAATACTACAGTATTTGTTACCTAATGTTAAAATCTACATTTACTAATTACATCTTTAAGCATTCATTAATGTATATTGAACTGATCTGAACAACTGTTTATTTATTTATTTTTTATTAATAACTAACATTAACAAATGTAATAAATTATGCAAATAAACCTCAGTGGGCCCTATTTTCAGATCAGCACAACCCTAATTTTTATGTTTTACACTTCGTTATTTGAATAGCAAATCCATTTGCACCACTTTTTGAACTCATAGGTGTGCCAATCTATAAAAGAGGAGTGTTAAGGTGCATTGTTGGCATGTTGCAATTTTGTGGAACGAGAATAGATCTTGAAACACACAGGATGTACAGCAATACACAAATATCTTTACATATGAAAAAGATTGATGGATTCAAATGTTACAAAAAATATAATGTCTACATAAATATAAAAACCACAGCCTCTGTGCCTTCATCATGTCAGGGGGCTTTTTTTCAGTTTATTTATGACAATTTGCTTTTGTATAATGTTATTATTATATTATTATTATATGCATATTTATATTTGTTTTAATAAAAACAAGTTTAGATTTGTTTAGGAGACGTATGCTTCACCATATGGGGCATAAGAATAGGACAGGTGTTTGGATATAACTCAGTGTTTTGACCACATTTCATTATTAATGCTCATTTATTCGTTTGCTAGAAATTAGAACTGAATTTAGAAATAGTTTTGAAACAAAACTTTGCGCTTAACAAAAAAAATAAATGATGTCTTTAGTGGAGTTTTCACGTTTCCTTATCCATGAAAGTAAAGGAGTAAAGCAAATAGTAAAGGTAAAGAGAAAGTAAAGAGGCTGAATGCTGGAGGCTCGTTCTTTATCATCGCTTTGCAGATGATCTGTTTAATTGTTTTCTCGCTAGTGAAGCATTCAGTTTTTCAACTTACAAAGTCCGCCAAGTAAATAGCAAATGCACCATGGTGCAACACAACTGACTCCTAAAGGGAATGGGAGATGGGAGACTCTGATTGGTTTAATGCACATTATGCTCAAAACACACCCATAATTCATGTAAGAGAATAAACACAACTCTGTTAGACCATGCACCAGGGCGCAAAATGTATTTTTCCGTCCTTAAAATAGCAAAAGTAGATTCAGACACACCCTTAATGTGTTTGTGCCATACGCTTTAGACTTTGTGCCTAGATCGTTAAAATAGAACCCCCGATGTTTCCTAGTGCAGTAACAAATGATAATAAATGATGGGTAATTGTAAGATATTACCATTTATTGTTAACTATTTAAATGTTTTGAGAGTAAGAAAATGAAGGCAATGGCTTTGCTTTGATTCAGGGTCCAAATCATTTTGGACATTCACTCACATGTCCACACGATTGTATTCTCCTCTTAGTCTCAACCTGCTCCGCCAGCTCCATCTTCCTCTTGTTTCTCTTGTATCCTGACAAACTGAACTCTGCAACGTGTTGAAAAAGACATAACACTCAATAACAGATATTACTCAACTGCTTTGACTTCCAGTCCAAAATGCATACGTGTGTGTGTGATGAGTCACCAAAACCACTAAAAGCTGACAAATGTTTTGCTCCTGTGGCCGTATCGCTTAAAAATTATTCATGATAGCATACTGCTGCGAGGGTGTGCGTTTGGCAGCGGAGCCTTTATTCTCATAATAAATCAGTCTATTGGTGGAAATGCGGTCAAAATCCTTAAAGTCTCCCTAAATAATGGGACATGTGTTGGAGTGAGGTCATGGTTTTGGCATCAGATCATTTCCAGCACTGACAACACACACTCTGTCTCTGTCCGACAAACACTGGGAGTCGGCATGGGGCCCTCTAATAAAGTATAGAAGCCATTGTTTACCAAACGCCGCATTCCACTCCTGTGAAAATCTCTTAATCAAAGAAAACACATCAACCAAATGAGCACAATTAAGTCATTTTACAGGATTCAATGGAATGCAATTAGAACTGGTAAACAATAACCAAGTTATTTAACCAAGAGTAACCAAGAGTCAAGTGCTTCAAAACACTCTAACAGATGAGACGGCATGACCAATTGTGAGTCAATGAAATGATGTGCCACTATCAGAAAAATACAAAAGAGATAAAAAGAAAAAATTGAACCTGGCACTAAGCACTTGTATTCAAACTTAAGCTTGTTCGTTTGTTTATTGCCACATAAGCAAATTATGGCCATTTCATGATAACTTTATATAATAAGAAAATCCCTTATTTCAATAAGAGATGATACACAAACAAATATAAAAATAGAAATTAATTTAATTCACAAAAAAATTATATTAAAAGTTTAAATATAAATTTAAATTGAATATTTGATAAATAACTTCAAATTCTAAACTTAACCTTGTCTATACCTGCATAAAATTATATGAGAAAAGAAAAACAAGAGCATACAAGGCGCTCTGTAGTTGTAATGTTGCATTAGAGACCTGTTGTAATCACAAAAATTTTGAAATTCTTGTTTTTAGCTGGCTATATTTTGGTAACTATTTAGGAGCTGATTTCACAACATGTTTACAGCCAGATATAAAATCTTTTTATGCGTTTTCCCTGTTCATTTACACAACAACTGTGGCTTTGGAATTGAAAACGCATATATTTGAAAATGGCGCCATTGTCATGTGCTTGGAAAGTGTGGATTTACTTTACATTACTACCAATATTGGAGACACATCTTACAGCAAATTATACATACACACCGACGGCATCGTCACTTCCTTACAATACTGTTTATCAACAAGGTGACAGTGCCAAAACTGGCCTGGCGTATGTAATACAGCGTTTTTGCAAAACTTTGTTGTGTAAACATGAAACTTTGAAATGAATTAAAAACAAAATTGGTCCCACTTTATATTAAGTGTTGCTTATACCAGTGAACTTAAATGGTAACTAGATGTGTAGGTAGTATGCAACTACAGTGTATGTATACACTTGTACATAGTATTTACATGTGTAATGCTGGTGTAACTACACACATGTAACAACCCACAATAGTATGTGCAAGTTCGAATGTGTAACAGGACATTAATAACACAATCTTTGTTAAACTACCTCTTTAATATGAATTACTGATGTGATTCTACAATTTACCTCTAAAACAGGATATAAACATGAGGCATCTATTTCTATATATACACATACTTTTTTGGCAGAAGTTTGCTGTTGTTAAACAGTTGCACAAAGGTTTAGGTTTTATATATTACACGGTAATTTGTGACCATTTTACACTATTTCGAGTGAACAGTTCCTGAGGATTTACACTGTAATTACACTGGTATCACATAGTGAAACGTTCTAATGCAGCGTTAGTTCTGTCATTCTTATTCTAACACAGTGTTCAGAGTTCACATGGTCAGGTGCGAAAGTGGGAAAACACCTGCAAGTTCATATTATTTTTACACAATGCACTTACGTAATACTTGTTACAGATGTTTACTTTCTTAGTGTTGTTACCAATGTCCTGTTACACATTTGAACTTACACATACTATTCAGTTGGTTCTTATATGCGTGTAGTTACACCAGTATTACACAAGTAAATACTATGTACCAGTGTGTACATACACTGTAGTTTATACTACTTACACATCTAGTTACTATGTAAGTTCACAGGTATAAACGACTTTAAAGTGGGACCAACACAATTCTTGAGTTTTTTGTGACAACTTAATTGTTTTATGTTCAATGGAATCCCCTTTAATAAAAAGCCTTTCTCCAGAAGAAACAAATATTAGAGGAAATACTGTTACTGTACTTAAAATTCCTGTTAAACATCATTTGGGAAATATTTATTTAAAAAAAAATTCTCAAGAGCGCTAATTATTTTATTACTTTAACAGTAATCGTTTTGAATAATCGTGATTACAATTATGACAAAAATAATTGTGATTATGATTTTTCCCAAAATCGAGCAGCCCTAAGGGAATCTGAGAATGACAAATGTCTCATTTTACCAGTGAAAAAAATTGTCTAATAAAGTTGTCAATGACAGATTGCAAGCATATATCTCAAACACAATAATTCAACTTTATATTTTCAAATAGTTGTATCCTAATGCATCACTTTACTGTGCATTAACAACCTGGACCAAATCCTCCATTCCAAGTCTATACAAAATTTATCATTTTAACTAACAGGAGACCTAAACGTAGGCGTAATATTATTAATGTTGTTGTTTTACTATTTATTTTTGTAGAATTAATAATAATAGCCTATTCATATTAACCTTTATTTCTCATCTATAGAATCGAGAGAAAATCATGATCTTGATTTTAAGCAAAAAAAATACAAAAATAAAAAATTGTGATTCTCATTTTAGCCAGAATCGTACAGCCCTTCTTACTATGCAACCACTGTCATCCTGAGCTATCAAGTTTAAAATTAAACAATTAATATCATTAACATTAACAATGCTTTATCTATATTTAACATCTGCATAACATTTGTGTTGTAAGCTTTCTCTGTTTTCATTTGTTTAGTCTTATGTGAACTCATTATAAAGGAACTAATTTATATAATATTATTATTATATTACTACCATTATCACTCTGAATAATATGATCTGTTCATTAATAACTAACTACAATAACAATTGACGCACAAGTTATAGTCAGTGTGCAAGTGATTTGGAAAAGGTTGAAAACTCCACCGCAGGCCTCAAACAAAAGCTCATTAAATTATATGAGAGAATAAAAAGCAAGTTCTTCTATTAAATAAATCTGAACGCCAGTCACACCTTACAGATCTAAACTGTGTGGAGAGAATATTATATCTTACATAAGACCTTCATTTCAATTAAAAACTGCCTCTAAAATGCCTCTTACCAAATAAATACACCTCAAATATGAGACTTTTGATTTAAAGGGACATATCTAATTTTTACTTTTCTGCTTCCTTTACCAACACAGGTAATAACGCAGTTAACAAGATTACGCAAATACAAAGACATGCCCTGATGCTTACAAATGTGTGTAAATCTAATAAAAAGAAACGTTGTAGTCAAGCATGCAGGAGCAGCTGAAAGAAGAGACTGGGTGGTCTGGTACTCACTGGTGGTCATCTTTTCTGTAGGGCATGCTGGGATACCATGGCTGATGGCCCACTGCTCTGCTCCTTTTCCCACTAAAAAACTGACAAAAAAACATACAGTAGATCTGATATAAAAGGGAGAAACTTAAACTGCAAAACGCTACATTTATACAGGAACAGGAGTATATTTCGGAACAGTACATTTCACATTTAAACATACATAATTACTTCTGTATTTGATTTAAGAAATAAATACTACAGCAAAATGCAATGCTTTGTGTGTGATTGAATTAAGAGAAGGAAATATTGACAATAAAAGTATTCTTAGGTGTTTAAAAATAATAGAAAGACTTGTTAAAGTTTAATCTTCACTTTAGTTTGAAGATTTAAAAGATGTTCATGTAATGCTTTGAGTTTTGAGATTACCACAATGCAGAAGCAGCCATGCTTTAAGTGTTGGCTGCTTAATTAACAAAAATGCAGTTTGTTGCTTTGCTCGGTGAGCAATAACTGTCCTAAAATGAGTTCAGAGATCAGTCCTCATCATCTGTACAGTATATGTAACACATGAAATATGTTTAAAAATGGCTCTTTTAGTTCATTTAGGATAACTTCAAATAAAACTAAGAGATGTAGAAATGTTTGACACATAATAGAAACACATGATATTAGCAGACCTTTGAGTTCAAATAAAAACACAAATGTATTTAAACTTTTATTTGATCAAATCATGTTGGACTAACTTAAATGCCTTCATTTGTATAAATAGTTATTTTTTAGTTGGTGCTAAATAGATTTATTGGATTGAAGTCATGCCCTCAATTAAATTGAGTTCATCCAATGAGTTATTTTTATGAGTGTACACAAATGTTTCTATAAGAAATGTTTCTTGTGCACCAAATCAGGAATATTAGAACGGTTTTTGAAGGATCCTGTATTATCACTGTATTAGTATTATAGGGCTGGGTGATTTGGCCTAAAATCAAAATCTGAATTAATTGAACATCTGAACTTGATTATGATTAATGAACGAATATTATATTTATTAAATTTATTTTTTGCCCTCATAGCTCACTGACAGGTTTTGCACAGTAATTATGCTCACATATTACAAGTGAGAGATTTTTAAATGAAGGTTCATTACTTGATTTTAAAATAAATGAAAAAAAACACACACTGTCTACTATCTATGATTATTTATTGAACATCAGCGTTGATCAACTGAAACTAAAACACACACTGCCTAAAAAGAACAGTCAAAAAAGAACTAGGTAAGTAATTGAAGAAATTGACCTGGAAAAATTACATTGATTATAGGTTCTGAATGTCGATTCCTTTTTGATTAATGGCCCAGCTCTATACTATTGTAATACTTGTAAAACTATATTAATATTGTATAATTGTATTCAAAAGGACCTATTATGCAAAAATCATGTTTGTACGAGGTTTAAACACAGTCTGTGAATATTACCAGCTTCTAATGGTATACAATATATATGTCTGCAGAAACACTTTGACTGACATTGTCCCTTTTTACATGTCATCAGGCCCTGCCCATTATTGGTGATCTCTCCCTCATTAGCATGGGACGTTACTCTTGTTTTTGTATCTGCCACTCTGCTGACACATAGGTATTTCTCACTACACTCTCTTTTGAAAAGACAACACAATCTCATATAAATGTAAAGTGACAGTCACCAAAATGACACAATTAGGATCAAAGCCTACACTGAAAAAAAATTATTCCTTGGATTTACGATTTTTTTTTTACATTAAGTGGGTGGTTGTAAACAATTTATTTGGGATGAATTTAAACAAACAAATTAAGTTGGACATTATTAAATTAAATTTGTTTGTTTAAATTCAACATTTGCAACAATTTGCAAAAATCTATAATTTTTTTTCGGTGTAAGGGGCAGTTTAGAGAGTTATAAAACATTATTTGTGTGGTATTTTGAGCTGAAACTTCACATACACACTCTAGGGATATCAGACACTTATTTTACATCTTGTAAAAAAAGTGCATAATAGGTCCCCTTTAATAATTGCTAAAAAATCTAGCTTTGCCAACACTAGTAAATTACATTTTAAATTTATAAACAGAACAAAAATCTTTTTGTAATACTCTGTTAACAATATTACAATTTAACCATATCATTGATCAAAAATATGGAGCCTTGGTGAACATAAAAACATCTTACTTTTTTGTATTTGTAGCATAACAACTTAAAACCTGACAAACCTTAAAATGAGATATCCTTTTTCAAAATAATACAAACGTGTGAGATTGTGTTATCTAATGAATACAGCATAAGTAAAACTTTCTGGGACCACGGCAATCTATAGTCAATCTATGCAATCTATGAATGAATTCCCTGTAGCAAAGAAAATATATTTGCTACATTTTTCACAACAAGATGAATGCATTTAGTCCAAACATGTTATGCCTTGCAAAAAAAGGCTCAGTATGACTGCATTACATTTACATATAATAGTGTACATATAATCATGTGCATGCAGTGACTGACATCTTTCTGGTTTACATCTGAATGTTTCCCCAGAGGCATCAATAAAGTATGTCAGGTCATGTATATGCCTACAAGCTATCAAGCCAACATCAGAGAGCTAAGCTCACCATGGAGGAATCCTGCCAGCTGATAGCTTCCCCTTCTGAGTTTCACTTAATAGTCTTCTGGATACCAGCACCGGGTTCTTGATTCCTGATAGAAATAGCAGCATTAGTATCACTTTTGCTCAAGACAGCTTTAAATACAGCAAATGAAACCTGTGTTTGGCTTTCTCTTGCATTTTTTACTTTAAGAAAAAAAAAAACATTCACTGCACCAAAAAGCAACATAATACCCAATACTGGATAAACTTTAGCATATTAAAATACTAAAGTATATGATTATATTAGTATACCATAACTTTATTATACTAGTATACATTTTAGTATAATTATTTATATTTACTCATAATATCGTATAATAATCTCTTCACCTGAACAGTAGTGATAGTTATATTGATTGTGAAATTATATGATATTTTTAGACATTCACAATATTTATAGACAAAACAGCTAAGACGGTCATGAAATGTCTGACCTTAATATAGTATTATAAAGGCAGTATGCGATATCCTAAACAGACGTGGAAAAAGCAGAAAATACATAAAAGAGAAGATGAACTTGGATGTGGTATATGAACTCATAGCCATTTTATTCTGAAAACTGAAAAAGTGTTTTGTTTTTCTCAATTTTGTGTGCATACTTCTTTTTTATCCGTGTATATATTAATGCTGAGAACATTCTTTTATCTAGAAGGTCATTAAAACTATGCTAAAACAACAAAAGGAGGACCAAAATGTGTTCGTATATGTAGTGTACTGTACATCCAACCTTTTAATCCGAATGGTTACAAACTTTTACGAGATGTTGTTTTTTTTTTGTTTGTTTGTTGTTGTTTTTTTTTGAGAGAGAGTTTTTTGTTTTGTCATATCAGCTTTGTTGGCTATTTCATGGCAAAGGCAGATAACATTTACAAACATTTTATAAATAGCACTTTTCTATTATAAAAAGTAAACAATAAAACAATAAATAACAATAAAAAACATCAACAATAAATAATACCTAAAATAAAATAACATCTAAACCATCTTAAAACTTTTGGTGATAATTCTACCATTTTTAACGAATTCACATTTAAAAATATGGATTTTTTGTTGTTGTTGAGCGCAAAGAAATATACCTTGAAGAATGGTGAAAAACTGGTAGCCATTGAAATAAATAGCAGGAAAAAATACTGTGGAAATCAGTGGATGCTGGTTTCCTAAATTGTTTAAAGAATCTTACTTTGTGTGCACCAGAAGAAAGAAACTCAAACATTTTTGGGTCAAACATCACTTTGCTTTGGTTTGATTAATTTTAAACATCAAATTGTCACATTGTGACAAGCTCAAAGCAGCCTTAATAATGTTTATAGATGCACTCACCACTCAAGGCTCCAACGGCTCCATAGTTTAAGGATTTGCCATCCATGATGCTGGCATCACACTCAACCTCACCCGAGAGGTTCAGGTTGGAACCGGTGCCCGCATTAGTGAATGGGGAGTCCTGTAAAAAAAAAAATCAAACTTAAACACCATTTTTGTGAGCTCTCTTGAAATAGAAGACAATTGAAAAAAAGCCATAAATGTCACACTTTAGTCTTAAAAGAATGTTTATGTTGCAAGGTTTTAATCCATGGCTTAATGTGTAGACAAAACTATAAAACTAGAACAAAAGCCATTCATAGAATGAACATATGCTGGATAAATTGGCGGTTCAATCCAGTTCAATGTGGCGACCACAGATTAATAAAGGGAATAAGCCGAAAAAAAATGAATGAATGAATGAATAAATTAATTTTGTATTTTCAGTTGAATTAATTGTCAAATCCTTTAAAAAAATATATCATTGTGTTGTTTAGTTTTGCAATACGTACATAACACAAAATAGGCATATTATTTTTGTCTCTTTTAGGAAACAATTAGTTGGTCTGTTGTTGTGATCAACCATCACCTCCAGCTCTACAAGAGCTGCTGTCACTGCCTCGAGTGCCAATCCTCCCGCTCTGAGCCTGTCCACAGCCTGAAACACATTAAATCAGCTGATGACAGCAACTCATGATTGCCAAAGCCCAAAAAAAAAAAAAAAAAAAATTCTCACAGCACGTGCTCTATTCTCCTTCAAAATTCTGGGGCTTCATGTACAAACAATCACAGTAAAAAAATATACACAAATTAGAAATACAGTCAAAATTATTAGTCCTAGTGTGATTTTTTTGGAATATTTAATGTTTATATGATATATGATATGATATATGATGTTTTGATGTTGATATGATGTTAATTATTTTTTTCTTCTGAAGAAAGTGTTATTTGTTTTATTTCGGCTAAAATAAAAGCAGTTTTTATTTATTTTTAAAAACATTTTAAGGTTAAAATTATTAGCTCCCTTAAAAAATTTTTTTTGATTGTCTACAGAACAAACCATTGTTATACAATGTCTTACTTAATAAACTTAGTTAAGCCTTTAAACTTCACTTTAAGCTGAATACTAGTATAAAAATATCTAGTAAAATATTATGTACTGTCATCATGGCAAAGATAAAAGAAATCAGTTATTAGAAATGAGTTATTAAAACTAATATGTTTAGAAATAAGTTTTAAAAAAATCTAATACTTCAGGAGGGCTAATAATTCTGACTTCAGCTGTAAGTGAAAATCCAATGTGTAAGGCTCAAAAAGAAAATAAAGCTGTAGTGTTTTCCACTTGACAAGCCGAGAGGGTGGAATGGTATATTAAGCCAGGCAGCAGCTCAGGGCCGCTGCTGGTGTCATGTTATCAACACATAACTCAAATTCCCTGGCACAGGTGTTTTACTCGAGCTTGATCCCTTCTTTTCATCCTTTACACGGCACTTTGGACAGGGAAAAAGCACTGCACTGCTACTTGCCAAGCGATGCATTACTGTTAGTTGCAAAATATATCTTAAGATTGTGCATATTGGCAATATAAGAACACTTCGCAAAGGTAAGCAATCTGTGTTTAAAAGTTACACAATCAATATCAGAAAATCAGACAAACTGAGCTGGGATTAAAAGCCGATTATATCAGTGAATTGATGTCGAAATGACCTCTAGAATGCTATCCAAAGGTTACAGGGCACAGCAAAAATGCACAAGTATCTTTAGACATCAATTTTAAATAAAGAACCACATGAAACTTACTTTCTGGCAAGCTCTCTTGCACACATGTTTGTATTCCTTGGCTTTGGATTCAGAATGATACCCTGCCCCTGAGAAGATAAAATCATCAAAAATAACACAGACACGTTTGGTCAAAAGTCTTCATAATCAATGATTTTTTTTTTTTTTTATCAGTTTGCCAACCTAGTTTAATATTATTAAATCAGCTTTATATCATTCCAATCCCATTGTTATTACAATTGCAATTACAGCAAAGTGATCTAGATGTAGAAAATGGCAAAAACACCATCAAAAGTATTATAAAAGCAGTTCATGAGTAAATTTTTAGTTGATAAGAAAATGTAAGACTGTTATTGACAGATAATATTCAAAGCGCTCAACTGTCATCACCAGATTTGACGTCATTACAGCCAAAAGCCATCATTTTGCAAATATGGCATGCTGGGCGGAATATGCAGAACGGAGAATAAAAACATCATGGAAGTGAAACATTATCACTTAAATTACAGCCTGTTTGTATGGTTTCAGAGGACTTGAATCACAGCGAAAAAGTAACACAAACTTTTTTTGTCATGTTTATACAGTATAAAACCTTTCCCTATTGTGTTTCAGGGACAAAAAATAATAACAAAATGGTTTGGAATAACTTGAAAGCTTGTAAACATTTCCTTTTTCTTACTTATGAATGACCCATGTGTCACATTCTGCACATAAAACCATCAATTTATAGAGCTAGTCCACACAAAAATTACTTTGCTGTTAATTTACTCACACTCAAGCCATCCAGAATGTAGGAAACAATTTTTTTATTCAGTAGAACATTAGAGAGTTTTAGCTAAAATCATTAGTCATTGATGATAGCTAGCTATCAGTGTTTTGAGTCAAAAATTATATAGAGGTAGAACAAAATTAATTATTGTGGCTCCTGATGATACACTGAGATCTTATGAAAAAAAGTGATTAATAATCCCACCCAGAGGAAACCCACGCGAACGCGGGGAGAACATGCAAACTCTACACAGAAATGCCAACTGACCCAGCCGAGGCTCGAACCAGCAACCTTCATGCTGTGAGGCGAGAGCACTACCTACAGCGCCACCATGTCGCCAGTAAGAAACTTTACTATTCATTTATTTTATTTAGTGCTGGGCAAAGATTCATCACATTCAAAATAAAAGTTTGTTTTGTTTATCACGCCATCAATTCAGTTCAATATGACATCTCAGTGCAACGACGATGCTTTCCATACACAATTTTATTTTTTTTACTTCACTGCAATTCTTGTATTAAAATGTTTATATTATTTATATATATATATATATTTGTAATACAATCTTGTCCTTTAATACAAGCAGTCAGATATATGAACTGAACTTTATGTGGACCTGCTCAAAGAAAACACTCATTTTGAATGCATCAAACAAAACTAAAGTACATGCACAGAAAAACATGAACATTTAAATCAGGGATCACCAAACTTGTTCCTGGAGGGCCGGTGTCCTGCAGATTTTAGCTCCAACCCTTATCAAACACACCTGAACAAACTAATCAAGGTCTTACAAGGTGTACTTGAAACATCCAGGCAGGTGTGTTGTGGCAAGTTGAAGCTAAACCCTGCAGGGACAACTGTCCTCCAGGACTGAGATTGGTGACCCCTGATTTAAAGCAAATAAACATATGCAAATATTATCCCACTTGCTTTTTGAGCATTGTCGAGTGAGTTGTTAAACACCTATGATTAGTCACACGCTCAACAGAAAGGGCTGCGATTGGCTCTAATGCTCTGGCACTAAGTGACACTGATAAATGGCAGCAGCGATCACAGCTGATCCATCATAGTCGCAGTGGAGAAAAGGGGCTTTGCAGACACACTTGCATCTGGATTAGACCCACAAGTATTGCTATAACAGGGTATATACAGGATTCAGAAAGTAAAATCCAATATCTTTTCAAACCTTTTTAAGACTCTATTCACCAGTTTAGGTTTCGACCAGAAACATTGGTGACATTTCAAATTTCACTAAATACTGATTGAAAGAAACTAATCCTGAACTAAATCAAGAATAATTGTGTTGCCTCAGTAATTGCAGTAAACAAAGAATCAAGTTGTCAAACCTAGCAGGATTTCATCGATTTTATAAACCACACAGCATCCCGATATTGGCAAACTGTAGCATACAACTATACATTGCATAATCAAAAATTATACAAAATTGATTACCTTGTAAGATAGCATTGAAGACTTTTTATTACTTTTTAAGGGCCTTACATTACTGTAAATTGTTTTATCAACTTTTAAAACTTTTTAAGACTTAGCGGACACTCAGTATGACAGCCGAGAGGAGATTGACCGCCATGAGTGTGTGAGAGAGAAATGGAGTTTACTTTCATTTTCTCCAAAGCAGTAAAATAGGGGCTTCTGCTGTAACTTCAGTGTCACTGAATGACTGTAGAGCAAACACACGCAGTGAATTGAGCAGAGTTTCTGTGTTTTATTTACTCGCGCTCATCTCCCTCACCATAGTATTCAACCGCCCTATAACACATATGAGATAAATGACATCAGTACGTAATAACCAGTTAAGATCTATTACTGAACCGATACTGAATTGTCCACGTCTGCATCGCGGTGCATCGAAAAACCCTTATTGTTTTGACATAATATGTGTGTGTTATATTTATCATGTAAATGTGATACACACACATAAGAACAAAACTATAAAAAAGTTTTTTGTTACAAAAATATTTAAATGTATATATAATTTGTATCATATACATATATATTTTATATCCAAATGTAAATAAACATTTACTTAAATATATGCATGCATGTATTTATATATACATAATAAATATACATAAATATATATAATAAATATACACATTACACACACACAGGCGCAGCAATGGGGGTTGGTCTTTTACTTTTAGAGACAGACCATTTAGAAACAGGTCATTAAAAATGTAAACCTTTAGATTTCATACAGCTGTACACACATATATATTATGTCAAAACAAACTTTTATTTTGGGTGCGATTAATCGGGATCCATTTGTGCCCAGCACTAATTTAAAACTGCACTTGGTTTAATCCACAACTTCAGCAAATTGTCATGAACCCATTCAAAATATTCTTTAGTGCAAGTTTCCTGTCACATAGTGATGTATCAGTGGGTACAAATGTAATCTCACCACTTCTTGACTCTTAATGGCCCATTAGACATTGACAGTACTTTTATGAATTACCAAGTACCAAATTTTCAGCTAAAAACAAAAAGTCTTTATTGTTCTACTGACGAAAAAAAGTCAATATTGGATAGCCTGACTAAGTTTGCATAAAATAACAATAAGTTTTTACTTTTGCTTAACTTCTGCTTTAAATTAGTGATGGGTCGTTCATGAACGATTCGTTCTTTTTGATGACTGACATGACTGGGGAACAACGAGTCTTCTCAGGAAGTGATTTGTTCATCCGCGCGTGTGCACATTTGTGCAGGTAGTATCTTTAATTTCAAGTCTTCATCACATTGGCAGAAGCCAATCATATGCGTTTAGAGCCGGAAAAAGACTTGATCCGCTCACCTCTCGAGTCCTCTATCGGGTCTGAGTCACTCGTTCATCACGAGCCAATCATATGCGTTTAGAGCCGTAAAAAGTTTGGTCCGTTCATCTCTTGAGGCCTCTTCCGGGTCTGAGTCACTCGTTCATCACGGGCCAATCATATGCGTTTAGAGCCGGAAAAAGAATTGCACCGTTCATCTCTCGAGTCCTCGGGTTTGAGTCATTCTGTCACGTGATGAACAAACGATCCCGAAACCTATCGGCTTAGACTGTGCATTGATTAAGATTATATGTGACTGTCAGTGTAACGAAAATGAACCCCTGACATTTGAAGACATGAAGAGGTGAGCTGAGCAAAGAGACAAAAATGCCTTCATAGACAAAAGAGCAGGTAAACATTGAATTATTATTTTCTCCTTGTTATATTCTACTTATGACTTAACGTTATTTGTCGTGCAATCAACCTTTTGGGCTAGTTGTTGATGTGTTTGGAAGCAATTCATAACATTTTAATAATATTTTGGCAAATTGAACCAAATGAACGAAATGATTTGAAAAAAGTTTTCGTTCATCTTGATGAACGAGACTCAAAGATCCAAGTCAGTAAAATGATCCGAACTTCCCATCACTACTTTAAATTAAATCACTTTTGTAACACATAATAGCTAAATCTGTGGCAAAACATCTCTTGCAGAAATGTCTTGTGTAAACAAATTCCATAAAAAAAACATATTCACCTGCATGCACCAGCACAAATCCCATATTTTTGCCATCACGATGAGAGATGGTGCTGTTCAGTTTAAACCCTGAATTGTTTAGTGGAGACACAGTCTCCTTGGAATCTGACGAGTTTTCTAGATTTTCCATGACCCGTATTGAGTGTAGCTTGCATTTTGACCCATCATTCACTCATAACTCCAACACAGTTCTGCAAGTCCTGAAAGCAAAGAGAATATATCACTATTAATATATCATTATGCCAGTTTGTATGAAAGCCATTAAAATGACACACATTTTGACATTAAGAACATTGATGCATCCCTCAAATAACAACGTGTCGATGAACACATGAAATCAAGCATCTTATAAGACTTTATTACAAATACATCAACTACTCATTTCAATCCCACAAGACAGAATGAAAACAAGGAAAACTTACTCGCGTGAAGACTTCAGGTGCATAACAACAGAAGAGCGCACATTTCCAGTCATACGCATGGCACAGCATCCCTACTGATAACACACACATACAGATTGCACTAAATTATGAGTGTAGTTGTGTGTTTTCTGCATGATTGCGATGTGATGGGATGTAATGTGATGATTCGATAAGCGGCGCATGTGCTCGCGTCACACCAAAACACTTCCTGGTTCACAGACACATGTGACCATGTGGTTGCAGCAGCGGCCTCAAGCGGCGGAGCACTGTACTGCGAATCATGACAACAGCAGTTTTACATAGAATCATCATGAGAAAAAAAGAAGACATCTCCACGTGGCACTGTTGGACATTCAATACATTAAAGCTAAGAAAATTCAAACATCTGTTTATGTATGCAAGCTGATATAATTATATTGCAAAATGAGTTAGATCACCTTAAGCTGGGTGCCCATGAGGGCCGGTGTTCTGCATAGTTTAGCTTCAACTTCCTTCAACACACCTGCCTGAAAGTTTTTGTATACCTAGGAAGAGCTTGATTAGCTGGTTCAGGTGTTTAATTGGGGTTGGAACTAAAATATGCAGGACACAAGCCCCCCAGGACCGAGTTTGGGCACCCCTGACTTAAAGCAATAGTTCACTCAAAAAATGAAAATGTACTCATGATTTACTCTCCCTCGATTGATTCCAAACCTTGGGAGTTTTTTCCTACTATTGAACGGTTGGTAAATGACAGAATTTTCAGTTTTTGGTGAACTATCCCTTTAATTACCTCACAATAGTGTCTTCTAGTATTATTGACTGTTCCTCTTGAGTGTCACCCAAGCAGTGCATATTATTACTGTATCAATACTTTGATATCATTTCCTGATTCAAGCCACAAGCACCCAGAGCTAACTGTGCCAAATATTTGCTAAAAGTGGCCCACATTTGTTTTAGGATAACTGGGCCCCATTTGCCATATCTTCTCTGGGCCACTATAGGCTCAGATCCACAATAGCCATAGCTTACTATGCCGAATATTCACCAGAAGTGGCCCACATATGTTTTAGGATAACTGGGCCTCATTTTCCATATCTTCCCTGGGCCACTATAAGCTAACGGTTGCATTAGCCAGAGTTTACTGTGCTGAATATTTGCCAAAAGTGTTACACATATGTTTTAAAAAACCTGGGCCACATTTGCCATATTTTTTTCTGGGCCACAATAGGTTCACAGTCGTAATAGGCAGAGCTTACTGTGCCAAATCTTTGCCTTAAATGGCCCAAATATGAATTTGAATCTTTGGCCCCCCTTTGCCATTGAACAGGTGGGCTACTTCAGGTTCACATTCATTTGGTCTCGGCTGAAGGAATAACACCAGTGCCACATAACTGCCTAAAGTGGCCCACATTTGTATGCTTTCTGGGATGTTTCTTCACACACAGTACTGTAATTTATCATGCACAGTCATGCATAGTACTGCAGCTGCAAAGGCCTTCTTTTCATATATAATTTTTTAATATAATTAGACCATATTCATTTTTGCCCTGATTATCCTTTGTATGTGCCAAAATTTTTGCCAAAAGTAGCCTGCAAGTGGTTGGCACTTTTTGAGCCATATTCACTATTTACCTCATGGGCCATTTTATGGTCACATTTAGATTAAACATTGGCATGAACATCGCATATTTACCCAAATAGGCCCACCAAAATTGTAGCTAATTTGTCTGGGACATAAGAGGCATTGCCTTTAGTGACTCACATCCGGATACTATCAGGATCTAATAGACCATTTTTAAGGGATGTACACATTTTAAATTTCTATCGCTTCTGAGAATCCAAAAAGAGCCACATATTAATAAATAACGTCATGATAGATGTTTTAACATTAAGTTATGATTGAATTGAAGGTTCATGGACCAATGACATTACTACATTGAAATAGTCTATACATCTATAAAATCGATAAGTAAAACTAGTTGTTAAAGCTCCAAGTACATTTATTAGTTAATTAAGCCATTTCTTTGGCTTTAAATCTGAAAATGCATAAATAAAAACAGAAGAAAGAGAAGATAGTAATATACCATAGACATCTGATATGTGATGGGCCACAGTTTGGTGTTATTTATACTAAACAGATGGTCTTTCTGCCATGTCAAGTAAACTAACATTGGCAGCACAATTGAAAGCACTCCTCCTGGGACTATATGCTTACATAAACATGTCCTCCGACTGAAGTAAAACCCGGATGACTCCGCTGTTTGAAAAACATAGTTTTTTATAAAATCAAAGAATGATGGCTTGCTTCAAGGTTATTTATTATTACAGTACTGCATTCAGTGCTTCTTGGAGAGGAGATATGCAGTGCAGCATCCAAAAGAGTCATGGGGGCATTTTACTAAATAGATACATTAAAACATAATATTTTATTTTGATTATATTAAATATGTGTATCAAAATGTAGCCTGCTATTTTGTAATCAGATCAGAAATCTACTAATACACTATTTAATACAAAAATGCTCTGTGAAAGAGGATGCGTGATTGATTGATTGATTGATTGATTGATTGATTGATTGATTGATTCATTCATTCATTCATTCATTCATTTGATTTCATTGCTAATCTGTATAAATTAATGCAATATTAAATATGATATTTAAAAAGATGGCCTTTACTTAACCATCAGTAATTATAGGACTCTGTAATTATGTGCAAAATAAATTCAAGTGTTCGCACTTAGATATAGCTTGATAATATTAGCAGGTTTGGCATGCTGTCCCAGGAGAGAACCCTAAGCTCAGAGATGTAATTGAGCCCAGGTCTTCCTGCTTGGTCGATAAGCATGCAAGGGGGTACGAGATCAGGTAGTTTTCAAGAGCTCCCCCTGGTAAAGGAGGTAAGGGGGGGGGGAATGGGAGAATTCTTCAATAAAGAAAGTTAATGGAGCAATACTAGACGGGCTATTTATAGTAAGTTTGGATTCATCATTGGCTTACTAATGATTACGGAGATCCTACAATTTGAAATGAATTCGTTCAGAACATATATATATATATTCATTTCAAATTGTAGGATCTCCGTAATCATTAGTAAGCCAATATATATATATATATATCAAATATTTCAGAATGTGAGATTCTGATTGATTCTGCTTTCTGATTTGTTTCATGAAACTACTGTTGTTGATAAAGTTAATGACTTTGATTGGAAACTGTGATTGGTGTTGGTCAGGTCGTTGTTTTTTGACCATTTGTCAAAAATGTGATGTGAGTCTTGAACTTCTGCCACCATGAAAGTCAGACTTTCAGCCAATTTGTCATTGTCTTACATGTTGGCTAATCGGTGGCTAGTTTCAATGTATTTGTACTTTTGTATCTTATTCATTTGATTTTGGACATTTTGTTTTCTTAAAGCCCTCTGTTAAATCACATTATACATATTCATACAAAATTGTCCCTTGTGTTGTTTTCTTTTCTTGTAAGATCTGATTGGTTGAAATATAACATGGAAGAATATTTTATGGTCAATCGCATATCAGTGGAGATTTTTTTCTCTCTCTAATTTTCACTTTTTAAATTTTGTTCTTCATGATCTAAGGTCTAATTAAGAGTCTTCTTGTCTTAAAGTGTTTCAAACTATTCAAAGCATTCACAACACCCCAGTGCTATTTTTATGTGTCAAATTACAAATATGCTCTCTGTTATTTGGATAAATGCTACTTATTTTGTCTCAGTTAGTGGTCATAATTGACCTCTAATATTACTGTCTTGTAGTGCTTGTCTTACTATTAGACTGGTTGTTATGGTCATTGTAGCTTATTAGCTTGTAGGCAGCTTTAGTTGAAGTATTAAGTATGTAAGTTAAAGTATTTCTTTCTTTCATTGTTAATTGTGGTAATATTTCTACAGTTTTTAAGCAAGTTGTCGTTGATCTTCACATCTGGAAACAACTGATCTAATAGCACTTAATTTCACTACTCTTTGATGTTCAGTATCTGCTTACCCCGCTAACACAGTTTGCAGACATATCAAATCTGTAGAGAAAAAGCAAGTTTGAAGCAAAATTAACATTTGGAAACATGAATATTAACATGTTCTCAAACCTCGAATCGAATCCGTGTTTTCAGCAAAGCACTGTATTGTGTCCAGATGGTTGAACGTTTGCCAGCTAACAAGTACTTTCCCTTTAATCATCTATTTTTGTAATGATATTTAAGTTGGCCAACATTCACACCACAGTTAAATTAGTGCAGTAGTGTATATAAGACTGAGACATTAGGTTCAACTGCAGTTTTTGCCATTTGCTATCAAAACTACTACAAGATTAAAAAAAGAGAAGAAAAAATATGAGCTGCTTTATGTTTCTTGATGTCAGTTGATGGTACAAAGCTTGTGTATTCTGGCAGAACTTCATAGTAAAGGAATAGCTAAACTCTTTTTTGCCAGCCCAATTTACCATGATTAAGGTTTAAGTTTTTTTATTGTTTTCTATGTTTGATTTTTTTTCCTCGCTGAAAAGATCTGAAAGATTGTCTTATTATTAGATTTAATAGCAACAGCAACATGTGTACAATTTCAAAATGACAGCATTAATTTATACTGTTTGATTCAATGTTTTCAGCCTTCTGCTTCTTGTACAGTTCAGATAAATACATGACTGTTTATAAAATTAATGTTTTGTTATTGGATATCAGGTTATGTGCTTCATTTGAGACATTCACTTGCAATTTACCCAAGAATTTAATTAATACTCGTCTCTTTGCAAGTTTTGGCAATAATAACAAATAAAATCTAAATGAGCAGACTCAGTTCATGGTCTAGAGCTTCACTGAGTGGGTTAGAGGAAACGCTTGCAGAGTGTGATGTGGTGGGAAAACAGAGGATATTTTTTTGTGACAGGAGTCTGTGCACCATGTGATCAGTGATTGACAACTTACTTGCCTTTTATTTGTCTGTGGTGATTGGAGAACAAAGTAGAACAAAACAATTGCTCAAAGGAGGATCTAAGAATGAGCAAATCCTCTTTAACATGTTCTTGTCACCCCAAATATGTCAATGTGACACATGTCAGTGAGTCGAAAATATATAATGCTATACTTTTTGTTTTGCAACACAGAAAATCAGTAGGTTTGACTGCAGCTTCTCATTACCACTGTAACAGATTGGTAACTGGTAACTGTATTTTTGGTAACACTTTAAAATAATGTCATGTAATGTTAGTAA